AAAGAAAGAAAGAAAGAAAGAAAGAAAGAAAAAGAAAAGAAAGAAAGAAAGAAAGAAAGAAAGAAAGAAAGAAAGAAAGAAAGAAAGAAAGAAAGGAAGGAAGAAAGAAAGAAAACAAAAAGCCCCACACAATGGATCATAGACCTAAAGGTACTGCATAAAACAAGGCAGTTTTTAGAATTAAAGCCGGGAACAAGCCTTGTTGACCTGTTTTCAAGCTGTGCTGTAAAGCTGCAATAATCAAGACAGGACGATGCTGGCATAAAAACACATAGAGCAATGGACCAGAAATAAACTCAGTACAATCAGCTGATCTTTCACAAGGGTCCCTAGAACACAGCCTGGGGAAAGAACAGGTATTGCAGTAAATAGTGGTGGGAAAACTGGATATCCACGCTCAGTAGATTGAAATTGGGACTTTGCCTTATACCCATACAAAAATTAAATTGAAATGGATTAAAGAAAACTTCTAGAAAAATTTCTTGTCATTGGTCTTGGTGATGATGTTTTAGGATGTAACACAAAAGCACAGGCAACCAAAGCAAAAATAAGTCAAATAAATCCATTAGCAACATTAAATGCCAACCTGAAGAACTGTGAAAACAGGTATAAGCCATATATATGTTCAGGGGTAGACATCCAAAGCATACAAGGAATTCACATAACACAATAGCAAAAGTTCAAATTATCTGATTGAAAATGGGCATTCAACCTAAATAGTTTCCCAAAGAAGAACACCAGTAGCCAATAGTGGTATAAAAAAATGCTCAACATCACTCACTACCGATTAAGTGCAAATCAAAACCATGTGATAAATGATCCCCCACCTGTGTTTATGGCTGTTGTCAAAAAAGACAAACAGTGACAAGTGTGGGTGAGGATGTGGAGGGGAGGGAAGCAGTGTAACCTGGGGATGGGGGTGTAAATGGTATAAGCATTATGGAAAGCAGAAGGGAGGGTCCCAAAAAGGAAAAATAGATCTACTGTATGACCCAGCAATATGTATCCGAGAGAAGTGAAATCAGGATCGCAGAGGTATCTGCTCGCCGTGTTCATGTCAACATTATTTGTGACAGCCAAGAGCAAGAAAGGAGCTGAGGTCCCATCATGAACATTACAAAGTAATGGCTTTCTTTTGACAGTGATGCGTGGGCAGGGAAACTGAGGCAGATACTCACCACAGAGTATTGTCAAGCTGCCAAACAAATCTTGTTTGCAACAGCACGATTGAACTTGGAAGGCCTTATGCTGAGGGAAATACTCCCGACAGACAGACTGATACTGCAGGGATTCACTCGTGTGGGAAGTCTGGAGAAGCCAGACCCATAGAAGCTGGGTACAGAATTCATGGCCAGGGGTGGGGAAGAGTTAGGACAGCAGGTGCCAGCTTTCCGTTGTAGGATGGGCAAGTTCTGGGGGGCAGGTGTGCATGGCCGTCACGTGCTCTCGCTTCAGTACTATTGTGGTAATCTCTACACAGCATACATCAAATCACCGTGTTGCACACCTTGAATATATTCACTTTTTATTTAACAATTAAATACTTACAGATAAAAATTCAATTGGGACTACATTTAAGAGATACTAAAACCACTGATAATAATTGATTGCAGAAAGCACAAATGGGATAAGAAAAATAACTCATGGGTATTTTGGTTACAAAGCTATGAAGATTTTGGCAAAAATCACTGAGGCACGATTCTTGAAAGGGAATATATTACCTTATATAAATTCGACCTTAATAACCTTGACATTTAAAGAGGCAAACAATTGCATTGAGCTCTAATTGGAATCATAAGTAGTGTTGTAAACTGCAGGAAGTAATTGTGTTTACATATATTGACTTTATTAAATATGCATGCATTTCTGCTGGCCTGGTAACATTTGGTGAAATACATTTTTAAGCCCTATAGAAAGGATTACAATGCCAAGTCAACATTTAAATTGTATTTGATTCCAGAGAGCACAAATGTTCATTTTTATGAACATTGCAAAGAAATGGCTTTCTTTTAAGACTAAGAGCTTTTATTTATTTTTGCCTAGTTTGAGCTGTGTGCAATTAACAAAATTTATTCTGCTTGTGATATTTCAATCCTTAAACATTTTTCTAATTCATACATTACTATTGTTATTTCATTACAAACTCAAAAGATTGCCTAGGGTTCTGTATTTTATATGCTAAATGAATTATATTTTAATTGAACCCATGAGTACATGTTTTTTCAAGTGTTTGCAGTCCATTTTCACATTTAAATATCTTGCTTAGTTCAGTAATGCATTTCAAACTTAGCTTTTCAGTTGTTTATTGATTTGGCTGTTACAGTTAAATGTGTCTTTGTAAACATTTTCTTGTGGAGCAAATGACTGATTTTTTTCTCTTAGAAGAACAAGTGAATGAAGTTTGATATTGATAGAAAACTTTACAGATTCTATCTTGGTATTTTCTCTTACAGTTTCTAGAAACTGTTATCTGCATAGAACAACCTTGTATCATCCAGCTACCCTGCGGTTCTTGATTGATACGATAATGTTAGAAGAAAACTAATTATATTATTGATTGTTTCCTGTAGCAGTCCCCTGGTGCTACCAATAGCCAAGCAAGACAGTTTGTTGGAAAAAGACATCATGTTCAAAGATGCAACAAAAGGGCTGTGTAAGCAGCCGTCCCCGGACACCACCCCCGAACATACCGCGATGCACAGCTGCAGCAGACCTGAGCAGGTAAATCGCTCGTGGCCGCGGGGCGCTTCCACACTCCGAGCTTCACCACCCGGCATATTTCAAAAGCAGATATCTGCTACCTTCCACTGGAAGAAAAACTGAGGAATGCATAGGTTACCGTTTTGTTTACAGCTCCCATAAATGAATAGAGCATTTTACTCATCACTGATGAATGTAATTGTTATTGTGTTTTACACCGATTTAGATTTCACAGTTTAACCTCTGTGCCAGGAATATAGGCTCAGCCAATTTGTTACGTCTTGTGTATTTCCAGCTGAGCCTTTTGTCGTTATTTTGAATGTTAGGTAGTCTGTGTTTTTCTGTTTCCTCCCTGACTATCCAAATGCATGCAAGCAAAAGAACAAAGAGTCACTGACAGCCATTATACTTGGAAGTAAATAACTGTGGTGGAGTGTGTGTGCGTGTGTGTGTGGGGGGGGTGCGTGTGCGTGTGTATGCATCTGTGGAGAGGTGTGCTGCCATGGCCACAGTGCTCAGGTTAAGGGAGACCACTTTAGAGTTGGGAGTCTGATGAGTTTGGGACTATAGAAATGAGTATATTTTCTGTTTTCACTGCCACAGAAATAAATGATTTTGTATGTTGTGTTTTGTAGATGCCAGTGTAATCTGCATCCTTAAAATGATTTTCTTGCAGTGTCTCTAATTCTGAACATTTTAGTTTAGCTAGGGTTTCTAAAAAGGCTTTTCTCTAAATTAAATTTTAATTTAATTTAGATTGCTTTAGATAAAGAAAACTTTAAAATGTCCTTTGTGTTTTTCATTTTTATTAGCATTGTTTTGAAATACTTTTCTTGATTAGTTTATAAAAACATGTGGAAACTCCAAAACTAATTTGATTTCCTACTATTGAGGTTTGCTAACATTAAAGAAAAAACCCTCTCTAATACAAGTTGAGCCCTTGCATGACTTGAAGTGAATTCTTATGTTTGAGTTAATTTTATGTTTCCATTAATGTGTTTTCAAGCTATTAATTATTTGTCCAAGTTCAGCAGAAGTTCACGGATAACTGTTTATTTAATTAAAGATGAGTAAATTCAGCTCCAACCTTCCATCAAAGTACTGAGATTTTCACCTCCTGGAGTCAGAACAATTTCTGATAGGCAAAATGATTGCTTTTAAATGTTAATTTAACACAATATTTGTAAATGAAATAAAGGAAAAACATAAAACAGTCTTCAAAATTGAGACGACTTTTGCATCGTGTAGGCATCAGGTGAAATCCTTGCAGTGCTGCTTTTCTGTTAATGGCAGAGCTCAGGGTTACATCCTGGGCGTGGGAATAGCTGTAATCACGTGCTGTTTGCTGGAGGGCCCAGCAGCTGCTGAGGGCTCGGGCTGCAGCACTGATCTCAGCCCCACTCACAGCCCGGCCACAAGGTAAAGGCGGGTCTGTCGGTGACACAGTGTGGGGACCCAGTGCGGCCACGGCTAGGTTATGTGCTCTCTAGTGACAGTAGGGCCTTGGAAAAGACTTTCTGAAGCTTACAAAGCTCTGATTCATAGTTCAAAGAGAAACTCATAATGTAAAAAAAAAAATCTTTTCAATCAAAATAAAAACGGACTGTGCTTCCAGATTTTTGTAACGCGTGGGTCTCATCAAATGGTGACTGTATGGTGTCAATGAATATTCAAGGATTGCTTCACTGTTATTTAAACTTCTGAGAATGAGTAGGAGTAAGATTTGCTTTCATAATATCCCTAAGAGTTTTCTTTTGCTGCTTAAAAATATACATTTCCCCTTTGTTCCCCTTGTGTGTGCTGGTCTGCTCCTCCCCTCTACGCCTGGCCTTTTTCCCATTTTATTTCTGGTCTCTTAACATTTTAAAGTCTCTCTTTCATCCCTTTTCAGAAAACACATATTTAAATGCAGTTTAAGCTTGAAATTTAGATATAAAATGGCCTGCAAATCCTCATGTGTTTACAACGTGGCTGGATAATGACTTGCTATGTGAGCTGGGTCCCTGGGCATGGGCTGAGGGTCCACCTCCTTCCTGGCCTCTCCCGTCCCTCTCTGCTTCCTGTCCGCCACTCCCTGAGCAGCTCTCCTCCCCCAGACCCTTCCCCCAGGCCAATTCTACCTGGAGCTGGCCGACCATACAGAGTCTGCAGCTTCTAAAACATGAGCCAAAATACACTTCTCCTTCAACACTGACACTCCTTCTCCTTGTCAGTGTTGGGGACTTTGTTCCAGCAACCCAAAAATGAGTAAAAGTGTTCCATCCCATCTAGTGCAGACATGTCAGCCCAAGAGTAAGAGAAGGGATCATGGAGTTCTGAGTGCTGGCTGTGTTTCTGGAACTCTGTGACTCTGGGAGTTCCTCATCTGTGCTCAGCCTCATCTGTCAAATGAGGCCACGGTGTGGACCTTGTGTGGGTGTTGTGAAGGTGTCTGTAGGTGAGAGCTGTAGGTTACCACACATTTATCAGAAGCAAAGAACACACTCAGTCAGGTGTATGCTTTACTTTTACTGGGGTTGTCCACCTAGACTGAGTGTGCATTCACTTTTGCCTTAGCACAACTGGGGTATTTCTGCTTTTAATTCATGTCATCTGAATCCATACATCTACTGGCCTTTCTCTTTCCAGTGTAAATGTAGATTCTTTTAGAGAACACTAACACAAAATGACACTCATATTAATTCACCTTTCAAAACTTAAAAATGTTTCTACCAGCAGTATCCTAGTCCTGAAAATATTGTTGTGAGCAGTTTATTATCCATTTTCAGTATTTAAGCTTGAGTTTCAAACTGAATTGTAACTTGATCCAGCTGCTCATCACAGGTGTCCCTGCTACCCCTCATTCAGAACTCCTTAGGGACAGCAGAGTGAGCTCCAGGCCCATCTCCTGTAGCCTGGGGGACCTGTGACACCTCTGTAGATAGCAGGGAAGTCTGCATGCTTTGGCTGTGTGTGCAGTAGATAGGTTTTGATGACAAGCAAGACTTATTTTCCTATGGAGACTCCACAAGACATGCACTCAAACGTGAAGCTCCTCGGCCATCTAAGGGAACTGTAAGTGACAGGGCTTGGGAAGCTCAGCAGTAGTTGTCACATTACCGCCCTGTGCTGGTAGGACCACGACAGTCACCTGGTCCTTTCGTCTAACTTCGTCTCCCCTCTCTGTTGGTCTAGGCTGGATTCTGTAGTTTCCCCTGCACTGAGGGCCCCATGCTTGTTGCCTCATCCCCTAGGTCAGGCTCCTCTGCTGCCCATTGAGCAAGAATCTGATCTCTGGACATCAACTCTGGTCTCCCAGAGAGAAAAGTCATACGCAAACAGCAAAACAGAGCAAGAAATCCAACTGCGCTGCCAGCAGCCTTGTAAAAGTGGGGCTGGGAGCACAGAGTTCAGTGTAGTTTCAAAACAAACTTGCCCTGGATCTTGAAACATTTCTCAAAATGTTTCTGAGTGTTCCAGTATCTTTTGCATTATGTCTGTTTTGTGTTTTAGATTGCTCCTGTTAGGACAAATATAGACAATAAAAACCATAAAGGTCAGTCATAGGGATATATGCACCCTTTTGAAAGCATTTTTACCTGGTATTGGCTCAAATCATCAGAACTGATGATAGATATTTCTCATATACAGTATTCACCAATTGTAATTGTAATTCACAATTACAACATAAAAATACTCATGCACATAGTTTCCTTCTTCTATTTGCTGTCAGTTGCCAACATGACTTTGAAATCTTTATAAAAAATTTTGTGCCTCAGACAACCTTGCTTGAGACTGATGAGCAAAGCTTCCTTCTGATCCCTTTGCAATGCTGTCAGGACTCAGTAAAGGCCGGGATTCCTTCTCCTGCATGTGGCACACGACGTTGGTGGCATTTCCTCACTATCCACAGGCAGGGGGCGGTCCCATTTTTCTGTCAGCCTCACACTTCTCTCTCCCGCCCACATTGCAGCTGTAGCACTAGGGAGAAGACCCCATGGGAGCACCGAGAAGAAACCTAGCCTAAGCAGCCTCCCAGGCTCCTCGGAACAAATGCAAACATCTGTCAGCACTACCGCGCTTTTTCCAAGTGTGTGGGCAGAAATTGGTGTCGGGATCATCAGCGCTGTGGTTGTGAGAGGAGTTTTATTCTCTTAGTGTGAGTCCTTGAAGAAAAAGTCCTACTCTTGATGTCTCTCTTTTCCCGGATTGCTTTGGAAGTTGAACGAGTGTACCAACTTACTGCAGATTTTGCACTGCTTTGCAATTTTTGCCTTGTTTGAAGTTACTGCAGTCGTATTAATTGCATTACGTTATATATACATGCGTATTAATATTTGTGTCTGTATAAACATGTACACATACCACATTGGGGTATCTATCAGTTGCCTGTTTTAATTCTTTGGGATAACATTTGCAAATACATTAGACAGAAAATGTATTTATATCTCCCCCTAAATTGATAGTAAAAGTCTCCTATCATGTATCGTGTGTCTGTATACATCGACTGTTGCCAGTGCTTGATTCCCCCTGGAACATGTACCTTGCCCATTTGTGCTTATCTTTCTAGTCTTTGTATCCAAGAGCAAGCATTCCAGCCCACGATCCTAGGATCCAGTTAAGGTGTTCATCAATACAAGAACACCTCAGTCTTGTCCGGATTAACCCTAAGTAGGGAACCAAGGGCAGTGCAGGCAACACCGGTTGCCTGAGTCCTAGGCCAGGAGGGTCAGACTTTTTGTTGTTCCAACAAAGCATTGTGACCACTCACTCCAGAAGCCAGATGGGAAAAGTAATCGTGAATGGTAGGGATGGGATTTGTTCAGTCAGGAGGGCAAGGGTATGTGGGTCAAACACCTCCAGCCCCATCTTCAGGGCCTCACACGAACACTAAGATTATATGGGAAGGAGCGGTGAAGCCATCTTGGTCTGACTGTGGTCTGCTTGATCATTCTCTCCAGCTGGTTCTGGGAAGCTCTTAGGAAGTTAGCATTCCTGGGGTCACAGCTCAGTGGTTGCCCTCTGAGAGGTTCATCCCTGCTTCGGGGAGCAGCCTGGTGGTACCGGGACCTGCCTGAAAAGTTCCACGGGTGCTGGTGGGTGTGGGTTTGGGTCAAGGCCTGGGCCCGTGGGGTCTGGGACATTTGGTAGCCTCTCAGTGATGATGTTCCTGCATACAGGAACGGTCCTCGGTTCCTCGCTCTTCCTGCCTTCAGCCTTCATGGGGGACAGTTGCCCCGCAGGAGCTGGGCAGTAAAGAGATTTACCCAAGGGCAAGGAATGGAGAAAAGAAGAGAGTTTATGTAGATCAGAAAACGCTCCGCTTTCTCGCCACTGAGACATGACACCCAACTCCTGCAGCTTTAGGAGAGGTTTATTGTGGCTCACATCTCAGGCCATAGTCAGCTGCTTGCAGGGCAGAGGAAAACTGCTCAGGGCCTGGTGTCCAGGAGTCAGGAGGGTTAAGGGAGGAGCTGAGAAGGAAAGTAACCCCTTCCAGGTCACGTCCACAGTGACTCCTCCTCTGACCAGACACCATCTCCTAACAGCCGTCAGTGACGGGCCCCAGGATCCAACATGAGGCACTGGGGGACCTTGTAGATCTAAGCTATCACAACTATCAAGAAAGAGTGCCTGATTGTCCAAGAGCGAAATCACACAGGGTGAGAGATTAGGGTTTTCATAAGGGTTTCAGGATGCGGAAGAAAGGTCCAGGCAGCAGGCGTGGTTATCCGCAGGATGTCTTTTCCTGAGTCACTAAGCACCGTGTAGACCTTCCAGGCGCACCAACATTGCCCTTGCAATGGTGTTTACAGTGCAGTTTTGGCAAAGCCCATTTTCCTCTGGCTTCCAGAAGGCCTGTAGCTTTAGACAAGAAGGGGATAAGGGTGTCAACATAGGATTTTAGAGAAGACGGGCCCAGCCTCTTTGCAGGAGGAGTGGGCCTCACATCCTCGGGCTTGTCCCTGTCTTCTGACTGCCTGCCACTCTTTAAATGATTAACAGAGGCAGACTTCCAGGCTTTGCAGCTCTGCCCATATTGTGCCATGCTCTGACTCAGGGTCTTCTCCGTGTCCTCTCCTGCTTGGGGACAGTCTTCTCCTGCTTCCCAAAGGACAGTGCTGCCAGGCTTGTTCTGATTTCACCTTCATCGTGGCCATCATGTGAGGACGGTCTGCCCTCCACCACCACTGCCACTGAGCTAGAGCAAAGTATCCAGGGCACCCTGTCTTCCTCTCCTATACTGCCTGGTCTCAGAAGCTCTCTCGACCTCAGCCCCTTGCTTCTCCAACAGTAGATTGGAAACGCCCTGAGGTCAAAGACATCAGCCTTTTGTTCATCTTGATACTGAATTGCTAGTTCAGCGCCTGGCAGACTGTAGAGGAGCAAGAAAAGCTGACGAATTACCGCACCTATGGCAGCAGACCTATTCTTGGTCTGGGGAGTTCTGGGGCTGTTACCAAATGGCTCCCATCCCAGCTTCTGCTTCCTGCTGACCAGCTGAGGGGCCCCAGGAAGTTCTCTGCCCATTCGGCACCTCTGGGGTTTCGCCGACTAGCAAAGCACTTGAAGCTACTTCAATGAATATCAAACTTTTGGAAACTATTACCTAGCAAGAGAAACTTCCCCAAGAACGTACATGAAAGACAACTGATTTTTAAGGCAGAGAAAAAGCAGAGTGTCAGGCAGCACATGCTGGGGCATGCCTGTAGTCCCAGCACTTGGGAGGCTGAAGCAGTGGAATTGCCTTGAGTTTAAGGCCAGCTTGGGTTACATGGTGACGCTGTACTCAGCATCTGATCGGGCTTCTCCTCCTCTGCCATTGCCTGATTGCCTTGGTCCTTCACCAAGCACCCTGCTGGGCTGGTTAGCTGGAGCCCCGCTCCCCACTGGTGACCCTCCCAGGAGCTTTCTATCCACTCACCTGCCTGCTCCTTGGCTTCACCCAGACCCGCAGTGGGCCAGGCCGTATTCAGAGCTGAGTCCTGCTTCTTCCCCCACTCCAGGTGGTTCCTGTTCCCATGGCCCCGGTTGCATAGTCTTCCACACCAAGCTTCAGTGCATCTCACCACGCGGTTCTCTGTACGTGGCATGAGGGTGGAGCCCTGGACCTTCAAGATGCTGTACATCCCCACCCTCTCCACCCCCACCTGCCTTGTGATTTTCTTTCACTTTTTATTTTGAGACAGGGTCTTGCTAAGTCACTAAGTTGCCCAGGAGGGACTCAAACTTGTGATTGTTCCGCCTCAGCTTCCTAGAGTGCTGGCATTATAGGCATGCATCAGTGTACCTAGCTAGAGAGGGTATTCTTTTCCTTTATGAATAAACACACCAAACTTTACACTTGTCTGCCTCCCTGCCTCGCCAAGAAGCCCCAGGGGAGTGGCAAAAGCTGCGTGTCAGTGTCCTGGGTCTTTCTAGTGTGTGGCAAGCAACACTGTTGGCTGCAGAGTGGACACCAGGCTGAGGCCGCCCTGTAATTTTAATTCTCACAACCAGCCAGTGTGTTCACACCATCATTTACCCGCGTCCTAATAGGAGGCGAGGCGGCTGCATGTGGCTAAGATAGAAGACGCTCTGGGTCTTCCACCTGAGGTGGTGCATAGCTGGGCTTAAACCAGACACGAAGGGCTTATGGCTTTGACTCAGATGAGTTTTTAAATTTTTAGTTTTCTTAGCACACATTTGTGGTATGTAACGATGGCATCCCTCGTGGGGAGCTGGCCCACAGACAGAATGCGTCTCAGTTCTTCTATGTCCCCTCTCCCTCCCCACCCTCCTGTTTCCCTCCATCTCTTGGTCCCATTTCCCTTCAGGAAGATCTGTCCCCCTGTTTTCTGGTATCTGTCTTTTATTTTGCTGTTAGTTTTCACTCTCCTGGCAGAGAAGCTCAGCCGGGATCTGGGGTCTTCACACATTAGCGTCCCCAAGGAGAGCAGAAGGGCACACATCCTGGATGCAGGAAACCACCAGGGATGATGTCACCCAGGGGCTGGGCCAAATTTCCTGCCCTTCCCCTCTCTGAACTCTGCCCGCTGAGTGCTTCCTATGCCTGAGAAGCTCTTCATGGAGAATGGAGTGTATCATGCGGAGTAGCGGACCTCATACAATCCCCAAACTGTCCTCACAACCCAGAAAATGGTTAAGAAAGCTGGGACCTTTGGGACCTCTGCTTTTATCTTCAACAAGTGCCCCACCTGAGATGCTGCTCTTGAACTATTTAGGTAGATGTTTCTAGACTCCAAAACTTAATAGTAACTAATTATAAGAAGTTGATGTTAAGTAATTCTGATAAGGCTATGTGATATGCCTTGTATTGGTTAAACCTGTGAGATATTTTGACAAATATTCCTTTTAAATGTTGCATGAGTAGAGGAAAGAACGTGCTCAAGGTGTTTGGCTGGATGTGTGCATGTTGTGTGGCATAAAGAGGCTTGTTCTTGACATTTCTGACATCAGAATAGTTTGCAAATTAATTTTAATAAGTAAGCGTGTGGCCATTGGGATGTTATTTTCCTGCCTACAGAAAAGGTTGCATCTCCAATGCCAGAAGACTCCAACCACGGTGCCCTCTCACTTGAACATGCACCACACCTCAGAGCTCTGAGACACCCAGGACACGATCTGTGTTTCTGTTGTTAGTGTGTTAAGTGGGAGACAGCCTGAGAAACAATAGGCTGATTTTAGGAACTCATGTGAAAGATTTAATTTTGTGAAATATTCACTGATAGCAGAAAAACCATCCTAAGCTTAATGTTTAATAGGTGTAATTTTCACTGTTCAAACATTTCACCGAAAAATAGTAATATTTGTTTAAATTTTTAACAATGATGCATGTGGTTAATAATGCAACCTATGCAACAAGTTTTCACTGTTCAAACATTTCACCGAAAAATAGTAATATTTGTTTAAATTTTTAACAATGATGCATGTGGTTAATAATGCAACCTATGCAACAAGTAGATAGAAAATGTAAATATAGAAAGCAAAGAAGAATGTAAATGATACAAACAGACTTGCTGTTATTAAAAATTTACTCTCGGCATCTGTGAACTCACAGGGGCATTCGTAAGAATATTCTTATTCTTCTGCTTTTCTGTTTCACATAAGAAAACCAATCCTGTCGTATTATGGCAAATGTCTACTTTTCAGAGCATATCCCATGCCCATCAAATTAAGCATTGCTCATTTTCATCTTTTTAAAGTGTCCTAATTTGTCTGTGTTTTGTTTGAAACCTTGCCCAATTTTTAAACTCCATCACTGTGTTCAGTTGAGAGAGCTTGTGACAGTTCTCTCAGTCTCACAGCTAGTTTACCCCTAAGAGTAATGTTGAGCAGAGTGAAAATTACAAGCAAAAGCTCTGAAGTCTGCTTTGAAGATCTAGCTCCGTGACACAAACACAGAGGCGAAGTGCAGACCTTTTCTGCCTCACCACGCCAGCAGGAACAGGAAGAATTTCGCTTTGGGAACACACAAATCCCCGATCTTGACAGCTGCGCATGTAACAGGGGCACAGTACAGCACAGAGCTGCCTGAATTATAGGGAGGGAATAGAAGCACCAACGAGTAGGAATGACCTTGTTAGACCCAACGACCTTGAGTGTCGCAGGTGGCATCTGGATGGCAGGCATGTGCACACTGGTGGGTAGAAAGCACCACTTCTCACCCGAATGCATTTTCTCTTGGTGACTTTGAATATTTTTTTTCATTTGCACTGGACCGTTTCATCCTTTAATAGCAGTTTCAAACTCAGGTGGTCTGCAAATTTTTGACATCTAAAAAAAAAAAAGAAATGGAATTTCCAACTGTGAAGAAAGTTGATGCGGAAGCAATTAGAACTGATCACACTTATTTTTTCCTAGGTCAAGCTCATGCCGCCTGCTCCCAACGATGACCTGGCCACGCTCAGCGAGCTCAATGACCGCAGCCTGCTGTATGAAATTCAGAAACGCTTCGGGAACGACCAGATCTACGTGAGTGCCCTGGAGATGCCCTCCACGTGGCTCTGGCTGCCGCTGTCACCATGCTTTAGTGTCGCTACTACAGCACATAAGAGACTCATGGGAACTCATACCCATGGGGACAGCTTGGGTTAGGTTTCTGAGTTCAGGTACCTTCTGGCTGTGCTGTAAGCGAGTTCCGCAGCATTCCAAGCATTGGGGCCCAGTGTAAGCTGATACTCAGAGTAGTCACAAGCACTGTTGCGGTTTCCTGTCATTGTGATTGCCCTGGAAGCCCTTGGTGAGACCGGCAGGATGTGCAAATCGCTTATACAATGCTGACCTTCTCAGCAGCTCTGCTTCCCCCTGGCAGTCCAGAGGGGAATTGAAGAGGATCCGCTGATTGTGCGTGAGGCCTACCTCTGCATGGAAAGGCAGAGTCCTGTTTCTCTAAATTGTCAGGAAGTGTCTTTGTGTGTAAAGTAAATAAGTCATCCACAGATTTCTGATACCAGGATACAAAAATATTATTCAGGTGCCAAACAGAATGGAACATCGGTTTACAACAATTTTATTCTTGCTTATCTCTTATTTCTTCCAATACTGATAATAATATAGGCACCCTGAGATCTCAAAATCAATCCCTCTCCCCCTCCTCTCGCTCATTGATTTTATCATCTCTTCCACAGACCGCAGAGCAACTCATTGAAAATGTCTATGGAGAAATCTGATTATGCACATACCTGTTATCCTCTCTTGATAATGCCCATTTTTCCTAATCTACTGAGAAACTGATTAAGTAATTTTCATGTAAATGCAACTTCTGAGGTTCCCTTAACAAGCAGTAAATTGTCAGATGCTGATTAGTCTATGAAAACACAATATAGCACTTTAATGCTTGAATAAATTGCCTGTCACCATAAATACACTTAAAACTGAACACTTCCTATCAAAATTAATGCAGGTGAGTCACGTCCATGAAGTGGTGAAACCTGATTGCATCGGCTTCTGTCCCACCCTGGCGAAGCGTGCGCTGTTTTTATGTCATCACTAGTCTTTCCCACAGGGTTGTTTTGGTTTTTCTTTCTTAGTGGTTACTAGTAACGCCAGTATTAGAAGACTGCAGTGCGGAAAGGCTGAGTTGCCTTGTATACCGCTGTCCCCTTGCTGCTTGTCCTGTGGCTTCATCTCCTAAACGCCAGCTTAGCGACTTCCCTTCCTAGTACGGCCCTCATCCATCCTCGTTCCTGTCCATCCTTGTCCTCCTCACAGCCAGCCCCGCCCTCACCCACAGCCGCTGACTTCACAGAGGACAACGTCCTTCCCCTGCCGTCTCGCAGTGGACCATGGTGGCCTGTGATGGGAATCATAGAGCTCCCAGCGTCCCCTTTCCTGTGGCTCACCCTCACTTCCGGAGGCCAAGTGCTTTCCTGTGGCTGAGGCTGGGGGCCTTCCAACCCTGACTGGGCCCGAGTATGCGTGCCACACCGGTCCTGTCGGTGCCCTGCTGCCTGCACCAGGGACTTCCCTGAGGTTCTTTACTCCTCTGAGCTTTGTTTTCAATCCTGTGAAAGAGTGAGCTTCAGAAACTCCCTCTCAGATCCCTCTTTTTAGATTATTTGTGTTTTCTTTTTTGTCTGCAGTACAACAGGGTCCCATTCCTTACCGGAAGCTGGTGCAAGGGCATCACACATTTCAATGACTCTTCCACTCTCTGCTGCTCCTCCTCCTCACCCATCCCCTTGTCCCCTTCCCTTTTGCAGAAGACCTCCCTCCCTGTTTCCTATGATCTATGTTTCATTTTGCTCTTTACTTACACTTTTGGTTTCTTGTATAAGTGAAGCCAAGTGATATTCAAGCTTGTGTGTCTGATATATTTCATTTAACATTATGATCTCAAGGTGCATCCATTTCCCTACAGATGACTCAGGTTTATCCTTCTTTATGTCACAGTAGTATTCCAACATCTATAGATACCACATTTTTTTTGTCCATTCATCTATTGATGGACATACAGGCTGCTTCCAAGATTTACCTATTAAAATTGTGCTGGTATAAACATAAGTGTGTATATATCTCTGTAATATAATGTCTTTAATTCTTTGGGGAAGATACATAGAAGGGGCATAGCTGGCAATGAAACTTCTAGTTTTAGTTTTTTGAGGAATCTCCACACTGATCTCCATAGCAGTTGTACAAGTTCACAATTCCACAAGCAATGCAGAGGGCTCCTTTTCCCACAGCCTCGCCAGCAGAGGTTCCTGTTTGGTTTCCTGCTGGTCTCAGAGTGTTGTTTGTGTAAGAGAACCTTCCTGGCTTCCTGCAAAGCCATCACCTTAGGACCCCGCCATGACTGGGGACAGTGCCCCCACTGGAGGTTTGGTGACATCCGACTCCTCAAGGACTGAGCCCCACTTGTCATGTGGCCAGGATGCCTGCGGCACTCGCAGACTTGAGCAAAACCTCTTCCTCCACCTGTCAGACCCCAGCTTCCCCTCACAATGCCCTGTATTCTTGATGACCTTTACTGTACTTGTTCTCAATCTGGGTAAGGGGAGGTCGCATGTCCTACCTTGCTAAAGCTCCTGTGAGCTGTGAACTCACCACTGTGGGAAACACGGCTTTCCTCATCCCACTGCAGAAGAATTGAAGAGCTCAATCCTCCTGGGCCACCTCTGATGGATGGACATGCAGTCAAGCATTCTGGATTTAATAATAACTGTTCTCAAATGTCTGCAGATGGCTGGTCACCTGCACATTTTATTACCAATCTGTAAAGAAAGCAAATATTTTTAGAGACTTACTGCAGTTGGATAGCTTGAGTCTGTTGCGTCTAACAAGACTTTGGGTTTGCATTCTGTATATCTTCATGTTACAATTTTATAAAAGTATCAGCCCTTGACTAATTGGGAGACAAAGGCAGTGCCCCTATCTTAGTTACTTTTCTCTTATTGCTGAGACAAGATATCCTGATGCCCAAAATGAAGGAAGGAAAGGTTTATCTAGCTCACAGTTGTGAAGGTTTCAGTCCATACTCAGCTGGCTCCAAGGCAGGTGGCATGGCACAGGGGCAATAGTTCAAGGCAGCAGATGACAGCAAAATCAGCAGGAGGAAAAGAGGGTGAGAAGAAAGCAGCCTCTTTTCCCCCCTTATCTTGTGAGCACTCACTCCACCTCCTCGCCCTCCCCCTGCACAGGCTCAGGATGCTTACAAAGTGAGCGGGCCCCTGCTGAATTGCTGAGTTAAACTTCTAACCTTCTCAAAGTGACACCACCCTCCCACACACTTTGTAATCCTCTAATTAGGCCCTTTATTGTCTATCGCCCCACCTACGCACACTGCTAAGGTGAAGTCAAGCGTGGTGGCACACACTGTGACCCCAGCACACGGGAGGCTGAAGCAGGAGGATTATGTGAATCCATGTCCAACCTGGGCTACATAGTGAGTTCAAAGCCAGCCTAAACTACATAGTAAGACCCTGTCTCAAAAGAAACAAAAAGAACAATGAGGTAAAGTAAGTTTCTGGGCTTCTTCAATTTAAAAATTCCCTTCTCTAAATGCATTCAAAATGTTTCATTTCGTCAGAAGAGCTTCTTCAGTTTTCAGGACTTATATATACTCAGTCACATTTTATGATTTTGTCATTAACTTTGATTTTATCATTAATTATTTAGGATTAATGATTTTTACGTCCTACTTAAGACATTTTATAAACTATTCTTCTTTATCGCAAAATACATTTTCAGAGGCCTTCTTTAACTCTTTCAATATTTAAGCCACCATAAACACATTCCTCAATAGAAAAATGCTACGCTACAGTACTTTTATTTCCGTTTCCCCTCTCTTTTCATCAGCAGATTTCTGTAGTCTCTCACAGTCTACTCTCTTGCTTCATTCCCCTTCCCTGAAACTTCGTGGCCCTTTCCCAGTGCTATAGTAATAATGTCCCTCTTCCGGTTACCTTTAGCACTTTTCCTCTGCTCAGTCCTGGGCAGACCCTCTTTCAGCAAGCGTCATGTCGCATGTGCAGAATGATGCTCAACTCCTTCGTGTTGGGGCTCGGCGGGTTCTGCTTTGAGAACACACCTGTGTCACTGGCGGCTTCATGAAGTCGTGGAATAGCTACCTTTTCACCCTCTCCTCCACCTACTTTTATTTTGCCTATAGCAGATTTGTTTATTTATCTTATAAGACCTTATAAAGTTAATTATCATATATACAGGCTAAAAGTGCCACCGCTTTAGTGTTTTAGTCTAGTTCATAGTACTTGTCTCTAAAGTGTTTAGTAACTTTACATTTTCTGTAATTGCCAGTATATTTGAGTTTGATTCTATCATTTTATCATTTATTTGTTCTATCTGTTCTTTGTGCCTTTATATCTCACTGCTAAATTTTTGTTAATTATTTTCTTTTTGTGCTTTAATAATAGTTTAGATTTGTTTTGTCATTGTTCTACAGCAACATAGAACTCAGTACTCATTTACTTCTACCTGTGTACTTGTCATACATGTAAATATTATATTTTATATTTAGGCTGGTTCTGACAAAATCCATCTCAGATAAAACACTTCGAATTCAATCATTTCACTTGTTATATGTCTAATGGAATGAAATCTCTTGGTTGCATTTAATTTATAATTTGTATTTCTTTAAAATATTTGAAACAATTTGCAAAATGTTAAAGCATGAATTTTGCATATTCATTGTATTTGTAAGAATGAGTTTTAAATTAGGTAATTTTTAATTTTTGAAGACACTATGTCTATGACTCATGAGTGATTTACACCTTTTCTTAACAGACTTTCATTGGGGATATCCTCCTGCTGGTCAACCCATTCAAGGAACTCCCAATTTATTCTACCATGGTGAGTGTAAACTTTAAAATATCATTCAGTGATGCAGAACAATGCTCATTAGGCAAACACATTTTTATCCAATGAATGATTCAGAAAGGAAAAATCAAATAATAATTGAAGTCATGCGTCTGAATAAAATATTAAATTCTCTATTTAGTAACGTGAGTCAATTTAGTTTGTTCCAAGGCAAATTTGAAAATCAGTTATTTTATCAAAAATATTATTTGCACTTAAAATATGTAGTTCTGCTAGGGCTGCTCACTAGACAGACTGAAATTAAATCATATAGGACCACATTTCCCATACATTTTTGACAAACTCAAGACCAGCTTGTGCTGAGCTCTTACTTGAACATGGGCCTTCTGTCTGAAGAAGTTCTGTCCTGGTAAAGCAAAGGGAACAGGGACAGAACACCACAGGAGGCCTTCTCCCCAGAGGGCAGGTGGGTTTAGGCATGAGGTCCTCCAAATCAAGAAACAAATTACATGTGGGAAGCTATCCCAGCTACCTGGAAACATGCTATGATTTTCAATGTAATAGATCAAAAATACTACTGTATATCATAGGAGCTCTCTGGTTTTTGTGTACCCATAAGATTAGCCCACTTGTGAGACAGAAATCCTAATATAGAGCAGGTCTATGGCACATGGGGACAGAGGTGGCAGAGGCAGAGACAGAGAGGGAAATCTTTATGCCTTCAAGGAAACAAATACTTCTCACAGGCATAGCTCACGAGAACAGGAGAGTTCTGCGCATACCCACCCTTCACCCTTCATTCCAAAATGCAATTCTGTGTGGCCTTAAAATTGATTTGAAGGGGCTGGGGATTTAGCTCAGCAACAAAGCGCCTGCCTGGCAAGCGCAAGGTCGTGAGTTCGGTTCCCGGTACCGGAGAAAAAACAAAAAACAAACAAACAAAAAAAAACAAAAACAAACAAACAAAATTGATTTGAAGCTTTTCTCTTCCTTCCATCCCTCCCTACCTGGACCTCACCTGGGTAATTTGTCCCTAGGAAGGGACAGGAGTGAGAAATCTCCCATGAACATTTCAGAAATTCTAACCAGAGATTAGTATTAACCTGATCTGTGGTTATTAAAAAGTGTTGAGTGAAACTCAATGCTATTTCCATCACTGTGAATAACTAATATTTTTGTAAATATTTAGTATGGTAATGCATTAGTATTGTATGGTGTACAAATATTAAATATTCTTTTCAGGTAATTTATATAAAACCACTATGTGGATCAAGAAATAGCGTATTAGTAGAATCCTCCATGTTTTTGTGTGTAGTAATGTAGTAAGTACAACAGAAGGTAAAATAGGCTTTTTCTTTCGTGGCTGGGCATGGTGGTGCACACCTGCAATCCCAGCTAAGACACACATGAGGCAGATGGATCACAAGTTGGAGGCCATCCTGAGTAATTTATAGAGTCTGTTTCAAAATAAAATTTTAAAAGTGCTGAGGATGTAGTTTACACTAGGTTCAATACCCACTAGCAACAACAACAAAAAAAATCCCCTTTTGTAGATATATGGCAGTCTATTGATGGAAATTTGGTCTGTTTGAGTGAGAATACTACTACCAGGAGCATTCCCACACATTTAGATAACGTCCTCTTTGGTTGTTGGGTGTGTACCTAACAATGGAATCAGTGGATCACAGCATCCAGTTTTGAACATATGTTCAGTTTTGAGCAGTACCAACAACTTTCCAAGATGTGCCAATTCATGTTGCCCCAGTAGATTATAGAAATTCTGCTCGCTTCTCCCCTTGGCCCGAATTCCATTTGTGAGTTTGTGTATCAGCCTACTGGGCTTATCTAATGGAATCTGGTTGGTGTTCTGTTTTCTGTGATACTGGCCACATTTTCACATAATCTTTATCCAGTGCCTGCCTCTTTTGTGAGGTGGCCATTCAAGACTTTCAAATAAAAAGTATAACTATTATGATGTCACCTTTCCTATCATGATTTGAAGGAGATTTAAGTATTCCAGAGTCTCCATCTGTGTGGAAAACACCTTGTTAAGACACAGAGTCAAGATTCATTTATTTTCTTTATGTGCATCAATTTGAAACAAACCTGTGTTTTTAGAAAGACTACTACATCACTACCTGATACTTTTGCATAAATCAGGTGACCAAACATGAATGAGTCTACTCGTACAATTCCTGCTCTGTCCCACTGGTCCATGGTAAGACATGGACCCCTTAAAGTCAAGTCCTCCACATCTGGATTTCAGAACTGGCCTAGGTCGTCTGTATTTCCTTTATGGTTCAGAATCTGCTCGCCGGTTCCCTGAGTTAAGAGAGTACAGAATTTCCAGGGATTTTGAATTTTATTGTACTAAGTTTAGGAACAGTTAAACACTTTGTAAGCATTTCTAAATATACTCATTTATTTAGGTCTGTAAAGAATAATCTTTTTTTGCTTTTCTGTGAGATTTCTTTTATAGCTTTGAATAAATGTTTTACATACTGTTAAGATTAATTTTAATATCTATTTTCTATAGTTAATGTTTGTCATATAAAAACACTCAAAAATAATGCCTCAAGCCCAGTAAGTTTATGAAATTCACTTATCTGTTAAAGTATTTTAAAATTTTTCTATGTACACAATTATATTGCCTTCAAAACTTTTATTTCTTTCATTACAACCCTCTGCTAGCCTTACCTTTTTCTTCTGTATAAGACAACCGAAGTATTTCATTGAACACAACTGTAATTTAGTATAAAAGAGACAGTTTTCTTAATTTCAGGGTGAACTTTTAGTAATTCCACATTAAGTATGAATATGGTTGTGAATCCATCATATGAAGGAAATTCCATTTTCTAAGACTAATAATTTTTTCTGTAATGAAGGATTTTGAATTTTATCACTTTTATCTTGTACATTTGAAATGCTCATTTTCTCATTTATTATTCTGTTTGTGGACTATATTTCCTGATTTTCAAATGTTAAATCACCTTCTAATTTTTATATTTTATCCTTTTCTTCATAATATTGGATTCTATTAGATAACAATTTAAAGTTCTTACATCTATGTTCATGACAGAATTAGCTTCTAATTTTTTTTCACTGTTTTATCATCCTTCCTATTCAAATTAAGCTTGCTCCATAAGAGAAATTTGAAAATGTTTTCCATTTTCTAGCCTCTGGGAGAGTTTGTGCACACTTGGCATTACTTCTTTCTCGGATGCATAGAAGAATTCACCAGGAACCAATTGGGCCTGATACTTTTTTCATAAGAAGATTTGTAGCTCTGGATTCAATTTCTCTGTCATACATAGGACTCTTTATATTTATATTTTTATTTCTACTCATATTAGGTTTTAATAATTATGTTTTCTAAGAATTAAGTTAATTGCATTTAATCTTCATAATTTTTCACATAGAACCGTTCATAGTCCTGTTTACCTACTAACATTTGTAGAAATTTGAATGATTTCTTTGCTTTCTGTACGCTGGTAATTTGACTTGTTAAAGTCAGTATACAGTGAGTTTATTAACGGTAACAATCTTTTCAAGGAAAATATATTTGGTTTAATTTTTCCTGCACATTTATTCTCTAACTAGTTTGCATACACACAGCATTCACTCACTGCCTTTTCTAAAATAAGTATTTGAGGCTTCTATTTTGCTTCAAGCACAGATTTACTGAACTATATACATGGTTGATATTTCACCAGCTCATTATCATTGAATTTAAGAGATTTAGTTGCTATTTGTGATTTTCTCTTTTTTATATGAATCCTATAAAAATATATACTGTTATCTTTTTCTGTCCTCTACCCTTTATCTTTGACCAATAAGGTGGATTTCTTGGAGTACTAAGTTATTAATTCTTCTGTGCTTTTGAATCCACTGATAAAATCACCTACTAATTTCAGATATTAGTAATGTGGCTTTTTTCAGTACTAAATTTTCCATTGAGTACTCTTGAAGATCCTTGTTCACTGGTGACATTCTACATCACTCCATATATTTTCATGTCAGTCGGTATTACTGTAAGCTCAGTGTCTGAGAGCCATCAACTGGCCTCTTTTTCTGCTGAGTGTGTACACTCACATGCCTGTATTTCTATTAAACAGAAATTTTTATTGACCGTTGAACATTCACGTTAAAGTTTGGTAGAGGCCAAGATGATGTTATATTTTTCCGAAGAAGAATCAACTTGTTTTCCTCCTGGCGGGCAGGTGAGCTGTAGGCAGAAATCCTGACCCCGCCAAGGTGGCCCAGTCTCACCTGTCCTGCTCCCTGAGCTGCAGTCCCGTCTAGGCCTCAGGTGAGAAGCTGGTTTGCTGTCCATGTGGCTTTGCTCCGCTACTGAGCCCCAAATCAGAATATGATTGTGTCTCTGCGGCATTGTCAAACTGCTAAAATCTGTGCTTAGCTTTCTTCTCAACATTTAACGTTAGCTTCCTGTGCGGCCCCTGATCTTGGCATGTCCGCTGGAAAAGGCTACACTGGCAAAGCCCGCTGGCTCCCTGCATTTTGGTTTTCTCCAAGATCTTGGCTCCTTGAATCCTGGCTGCTTTGGTGATTTTCTGAGGCCTTCAATTGGATGCTTAATTTAGTACAGTTTTTGTAGCTACTCACGGTTAAGAGAATGAATCTGATACCAGCCTCCTCGTTACAGCTCTTTGGTAAAGGAGGCCATATGTATTTTTATTGCATTGGTGTCAGAAAATCAGAAGATCATTCGCCTTCACATACCTTAGCCAGCTGTTGGTTTCGTATCCATTATTGTTGAATTCTGTCTGTACCTTCTGGGGGTGGAGTGGGGCGTGGAGAGGAAGTGTAAGAATGAGCATGTGCTATATGAAATTAACAGTTAATGTGTTGCTTCTGGCTTGTATTTATGCTGTCACAGATGATTGTGGAGTTCAGAGAATTTTATGGTGAGACAAAGTCAACTTTGAATAGCCTACTGAAAACTAACTGTACAAAAATAACTCCAATTTAGATTCTTCTGTGAATGTAGAGGTCAAATTCTAAGTCAGTCTAAGTAGACATAATAAGTTGTTCAAGTTTGACATTACTATACTATATTGTATCTTAGGATGGCAGAAACCTGTTATTTTGTAGTTTGTTTGTCTTGAAGGTGTCAATAGCATGATAGTTTTATTGCTTCAAATAATATGTTGTGTTTTCAGCTCTTTCAGAAATATATAATTCCAGGGGAAAGGAGATGCACATTAAGAGGCATATTTCTTTATTAATGTATAAATAAGGTGAACTGCATTGGGATGATCACCCACTAGTGCATTAAAACTTAGAATGTAATGTATGGTGTGTAGAACTATACATATATTTTATATAATTCATGTTTATATTGATATAATTCACATAAATAAATTTACACACTAGTTTTAGCACATGTACTTAATAAATGTGCTTAGTATACACACTAATGTCTCATTATATTCATCCTCTCAAGTGCCTGTCATAGACTATAAGAAAATAAATAAAATATATATGAGGTACAGTGTGCACTGGTATTAGGTGTAAAGCTTACAATAGAACTATTCAGTTTTGTAGGTCATAATAGAATTTAAAATGCCTGTTGCTTGGAATTCACATCTGTTATTCAGAGTCCAATAGATTGTCACCTCCTCATCATAAGTAACAACCCACAAATGTGGTGCTACAAGGTTGATATGAGAACTTAATTTTCTACTGAATTGGTGAGTGTCCCCTGGAGTAGTATGGAGATTATTATTTTAATATCAGCTTCTCATGTAAGACTCACTTTAAAGTGATATCATTATCCTCTGAACACACCAAAGAAAACTCCAGTTCTTTTTATGTCTTTTGGCTATGATTGTATTTGTGTTGTTTTAAGTGATATTTTCTTTCAAATATCATAGTTTCTTCCTCTGCTGCTTACACATATTAAGATGAGCACATCTAGGAAAATAACATATTAGGAATGATCATGTATATAAAGTATGATCCTATTTATAAAGACCAGGAGAGTGATTTAATTGTTAATCACTGTTTCATGGCTAGACAACTCCCTGAAACATGTGTGTTCCCTCTGACTTCGACAGCGTTAGTGTGCTGCACTAAGCCTGGCACAATACTCATTTCTGGTTTCTAGCAGTCATCGGTCATGGTGGTGCAGAGCCCCTTCCCAGCCAGCCTCATACTGATACTCACAAGAGCGCTTGGAAGCAAGAAGCTCAGTCCACGGACGCTTGCTCCCATGGTGACATGGGTCTGAGAAGAGGCTTTGGTGGGGAAGTCACGAAGAAGGGGCTTTGGTGGGGAACTGAAGGACAGCCAATGGAGAACAGGGTTGTTCCTGCCTGTTTATGCTAAATACAACTAACACTGTTTGTTTCGAGCATGTGAGATGTAGGAAACAGAGAAAATATAACAATGTAGCTAGATCTTTCTGCTCTGGCTCTACTAAAGCAATGTTAAAATAGGAACTGACATGCTTTTTGAAGGCCAGGAACATGCACTGAATACATCATTAGGACAAACTGTATGTGATACTGAGGAACACTAAGTTAGAGTGGCCTTGTACTGACACTTTTCCTATACCTGGGACAAAATACCTGCAACTTCAAGGAGGAAAAGTTCATTTGGGGCTTATGGTCTTAGGGGGTTTAGTCCATGATAGACTGGCTTTAAGGCAGAAACATCTGATGGAAGGACATCACAGAGGAAAATTGCTCAACTGATGGCAGCCAGGAAAAAGAGAGGAGGGAGGAGCCAGGGACAAGAACACACCCTTCCATACTCCCAGTGACCCCCTCTTCCAAAAAGGCGCCACTCCAAACAGCACATTTAACTTTGAACTCCATTGACAAATCCTCTGAGTATATTATCTTCCATGACCCAATCACCTCTCAAAAGCTTCACCTTTGAATGCACGGGACCTTTGGGGGACATTTCAGATACAAACCATACCAGTCCTCCTCCTTCAGACTGCAGAAGTAGTGTAAATACAAAAAGTAACAGAAAACATCACAGAGTTCACTTATAGCTGAGGACCCATGCAAGGAGCCTGAGCATCTGCATGACTAATGACTACTTAGGATGTCACCAGCCACTCAATCCGTACAATCAGGTGCATTTGCTCACAACTCCCAAACCAACCCAGGGAGGTGCTGTAGTTTGGAGTTTTGCAAGGGGAATAATATAATACGGGACACACCTTTTATAAGATTATTAATAATAGTCACCCAAAGAATCATATACAAAGAGAGTGCAGGAAATCTGTCCACACATTAAAGACCAAAGAATCCAGCTGAGGGCCTGGATCCCACAGTAATGTCCTGCATGAGTCCAGCTGAAAACCTTGAGCTCATAACAATGCCTCCCATGAGTACACCTGGAGGTCAAGAGCCCATGACAATGTCTCATGCAGGCCTGTTTCACAGATCTGTGCTGGGAAGGCCCAAAGATCAGTGGTGGAAGCTAGAAAGTCTGTGCCAGCAGACTGAGGAATCTGAACTGGAGCTAGGAAGTGACACTCAAAGTAAGAACCAGAGCTCCCCTGAAAAGTGCCACAACCACCCTCAGCAACAGTGAGGTCCCAAGCTCCTCTGATGAGGAGGACAGCCAAGTTCCCATCAGGAAAGCCACCGTGACAAGCTTCTCCAGGAGAATGAGCAGTGCACCATCTTCCTCCCTGGAGCCAGGAAGCGATGCTCAAGTGAGGACCAGAGCTCTCCCGAAGTGAACCACAGCCATTCTCAGAGACAATGAGGTCCTGAACCCTCTGATGAGAACAGCCGAGTTCATCAGGAAAACAAACTCCTCCTGGAAAACCAGCAGCTCCCGACAGCTTCTCCCCTTCTTTATCTTCAGTTCAGACTCTTATGCTGCCAGCAACAGTCCCCAGGTGGCCTCCCATACCCAGCTCCACACTGACTCATTTCAGCTGGGTTTTATAAGTTGACCACCAGTTGTCAGTCCACCAAAGGCGGCCATATATTCCTGAGAAGGAAATGCAGCTTTGAAGATGTGATAAGGAAGCATGGCCTTATTTAACTGTAACATTTATTTTCTAGTTAGTAGCTACATAAAGTTCTGCTTAAAATGTAGGGCTTCTCAGAGATGAGGTACCATGCTGTCAAAATAGAGGAGCAGAGGTTCCTCCCATACACAGCGAGAATCACTATCCTGAAGGCTTTACCACGTCCTGTAACCCTTTTCTGTTTACTGCATATTAAACAGCTGCACAGCCCGTATTTTCTGTTTTTAAATTACTCATAGAACATATTATTCATGTGCTATTTAAAAGCTTCCTTAACCATCCACCAAGAACAGGTGGAAATACAATAGAAACATTTCTTCTGTCTCTTTCCTTGGCCCAATTTTCCACTGTATTTTCACCTTTTCTTACTGATTTTCAGAAGTCCGTTACAAACCACCGACAATTTATGATTACACGTGCAGCTTTTCCCCTTCTGACTCTGCCTATCTTATTTTTTAAAGCTACGTGCTTGATCAGGAGCTGTTAAATTTAGTATAGTGAGACTGTTCCTTGGTTATCCTTAGGATTTGTATCTATGAACTATTTCCTTCCTTCCGATTTAATTGCATACTTATATAAATGCTCTAAACCCTGCTGTTCAGATTTGGGATTTAAATTCGTGCACAAGTGATTTGCACAGAGGTATCAAGTAGGAAGAACCATCTCTTCTTTTGCAAACAGACAACCAGTCTCCGCAGCACCATCCTTTTCGACTGATGCATGATGCGGCCCCGCAGCACCCAGGCCCCACCCCCGTGGAGGTGAAAGCTGGATCCCGTGGTCTGTGCCAGGGACCTGGTTTCCTGGCCTCCGCACCAGCACACCCTGCGCAGTGACTCTGGCTTGGGGCTGCGCTATTGCAGACACTACGGTAGGGCAGGACTCATGATACCAAAGGCAGAGGGACCCATTTCCACCAGAGCTCCCCCTTGCAACGTGCGCAGTGCTTCAGCAGCTGCTGTCGCCCTGCTGAAGCACTAGCCTGCCCAGGCCTCATAGCCTGACCGCGACAGCTGAGTTTGCCTCTACCTGCTGGTGCCACCAGCCAGGGGGAACGGGCAGCACCTCTCTTCAGGGTCTGATACCTGCCGCCCACACTGTGAGACTCGGAGGTTATTTCTTATAGCTGTTGATCATTACTTTGACTCTTAGAAATCACTTACTGAATAAATAACTTTAAATATATGTGAAATTTGTGATCAAATAGTACAAGCCACTCTTTTTCCTCCGTCGCTGTCATTGCTGCAAGATGCGCACTGTCTCCCTGATGCTCAGTAGCAGGGCGCGGCAGCCCTGCTGCCAGGGGCCCGGGGATTCCCCTTTCATCTGGAGCAGTTCCACAGTCTCTCTCAGTTTCCCTGACCTTCGTGTCCTTAACGTGGAGCAGTTATTTTATAAAATAAAAGTTAAATTTGTCTGGTGTTTCGTGACCCCAAGGCTCCCTACTGGTTAGTTTTTAGCGCTAATGTCAGGGTGTTCACTAGACCCTGAACAGACTAAAGCCTGCAGCGGTGAGTCTCCATGGCGGTGAAACTCAGCCTTTCAGTGGGATAAGTTAATTCCCTTTCTGTTTTTCCAGGAAACACGTCAGTTCATGTGTGATTCAGCCTCAGTGCCTCCAGACACTCAAGTTTAGGAGGCTTGCTGATGCCTGTGATTGATATTAAATGTTGCTTAGAGAAATCCTCCCACGCGAATACCCATGGTTCTAGCTTACCTCAGGGATTTCTATCAGGCTGTGTCTTTGTGAACTGCTCTTCAAACGCAGAGTAACCTAAGCCTATGGACCAAGAAGTGAGGACAGAATAGAAGCCAGCGCTTTGTCCTGTGCTTGCGTGGGAGGAGCTCTCCAGCGAGCCTTACAGTCAGAGTGCTTTGCTTTTGTTGTCTGAGGGACGCGGAATCAGGGCCTGGGCTGGGGTGGGGGACGTTTCCACAGCCTTTGCCTCTTACTGTCCAGGTGTCGCAGTTGTACCTCAGCCGCACGGGGACGCCCAGCCCCTCGCTGCCCCCCCATCTCTTCTCCTGTGCGGAGCGTGCCGTGCACCAGCTGTTCCGGGACCGCAGGCCTCAGTGCTTCACCCTCAGGTGAGTCCACCTGCCCGCTGGCCCACGCTCACATGACCCAGGTGTGGTGGGCCGAGACTGTGCTCCTCACTGCAGCCTCCTGCACAGCTGGTGGCCACTTTATATTTGCCCTAAGCGCATCTGGCTGGTCACAGCACAGCAGCAGCCCTCCCATCCCAGGTGACCCCAGAGGGGGCGGATCCATCACAGTGAACTTACAGTGAAACAGTTTCAGTGTGAGGATTTAGATGTTAGAACCTCAGCACTTCTGCTCTGCGACCTAAGAACCTTAAAGAAGAAAAGCTCCTGATGCCAGGGGCCCTGAGCCACTCACCGGTCAGCCTGCAGAGAGGCAGCTTGGTGTCTTTGTGCAGGAATGTTTTCCTGCCCCACTCCAAAGTGGCTGCCTCTGCTCACGTTTCTCCAAATGAAAGTTCTGCGAGTGGTTTTACCTGAAACACAATCGCAATTTTAGCTTCACTGATTTACGCTGGATCAAAAACTCTTCCAAAATAACAGAGGGTTAGCATGAGAAGAAGGGCTGAAATATGACCATTTGAGATGAGAGGACTGAAGAAATATTTAGTACAAAAATAAGATCTGCATCAGGGGATTATCTTGTACATTAGGCCAAACCTCTGCCACAGGGAGAGGTCTACAAATCCTCATGTTTTTGCCTCGTTATCAGTAGTGTGGAAACAAGCCATGTGCGTAAACTAATTCATAGCTCAAGTTCACACGAAGTACAGAGTACAGACAAAGCCTGGATAAAAACAGACTTATTTATAGAAGCACTTATTTACATTCTTTTACATTATTAGTTTTATTTTAAAATTCCCGCGGAGGGTGTGACTGGAGGGGATGCAGACTTGTGCTCTGCACCGATGTTTTCACACTCTGCTCGCAAGTGTCGCAGGGGTCAGAGGAGCACAGGGGCAGCGGGCATAGAGGAGTCCCCCCATTCTTGAATCAGGCATTTGTCTTTTCATTTGATTTACCTATTGAGCTTTCTGGTCTTTGTTGAAAAAAGGAACACGTTTAAAAGCTTACTTAGAAAACCAGGGGAATTGGTGAGACCGTGGAGAGTACAAATCACATTGAGGGTGGTAACCGACACCTCCGGAGAACGTACTGTGTGCCAGACCGGGATACTAGCTCACCCATCCCTGGAGCCCCCATGAGGTAAGCAGTGTTCGTGTCCAGAAGATGACGACACCAGTGTGGTGATGATGAGAGTGACCCAGCGTCTTATGGAGAAGCGGTCCCTCCAGAGGTGGCTGGAGAGCAGTGAAGAGCAGCGGGCCCTGGGGACACTCTGGGGTCACACCGCTCTGGGGACCTGCCCCGGGGCTCCCATGCCCCACACCTGTCTGTCGCTGCATGTACTCACTCCCGGAGTTCTGCTAGTGTTCTGCAGAGTGAGCGTCCTTTTGGGACATATCATAAGGTGAATGATGTCAGGCGCCGGCCTCTCATTTTGAAAAGAAACACTTTTTTTCGATTCACGTTTCAAGGCAGCCTCACTCAGCCCTGTGTGCAGACCTGCAGGCCGGGTGCCATCAGGGACCTGAGGTCCGCAGGCATTCTCTGCCTCCCTTCAGACTGCACCTCTGCAGACCCTCCTTGGCAGTCCTGGCCACAGTAAAGGCTGTCTTCATTCCTGCTACCGTGTTACAGTTAGTCATGCGGGGTCCGCGAAGCCAGCTGTTGGCACACCCTTTCTGGAGTTCCTCTCTTGTCCGGAAGCTGCATTACAAAAGGGTAATTTAAGACTTGATGAACAAAACAGATATCCTTAGAATGGAGTTCCCATCACCAGAAAAATTCCCATTTTCTTTCCAGATTTTACTTTTAATGTCTCACTCTGCAGACAATTTTAGGTGCCCGTAGTTAAAATGTGAAGGTCAGAGCTGATGAGGGGAGAAAATGCATCCATTAGCAAGGTGAAACTTAAATAATTATTCCGTTCCAGGAAAATAAATGCGCTTTAATCAACTTCATCAGAATAAATGTTCCAAGGCAGGAACCTAAGAACGTACCAGTAAAAGAACTTCAAAACAAGAGGGGTTTTTGTTTTGTTTTGTTTTGTGTTTTTTGCTATCAGCTGAAGACTAAAACTAAGTTTTCCGTCTGGAAGCACAAGTAACTTCATTGCATATCAGATCCCTGGCAATTTTGGCAGCGGAATTTTATGATGGTGCACCATTGCCTCGCGTCAGGACTGTAGCTCAGGCACTGTTTGCAGAAATTGGACCCATTGAGGAAGTGTGCAGGGAGCATCGAGATGTTGTCGTCAGAGATTCCAAGCTGGGTTCGTGATGGGCCCCTGATTACAGAGAGGTGCAAGCCAGAGAAGCTGGAGCTGAGAAGGTGCGCTCGGGGATGCCCAGTGAAGACGCGGTCAGTGTGGCCTGAGCAGTGTGCACTCCAGTTTCTCTTTCCAGGGGAAGAAGGGAGGCTCAGAGAGGTGGGGTGACGCTGCAAGGAAGATGCAGGGGATGTCAGGCATTCCCCAAGCCTTCACCAAGGGGCTGTGGGATGGCCACGCCCACTTTCCACCTGCAGCTTGGTCCCTTGGGGATCCCCGCTGTCATTCCTCGGGGTGCGGAGGACGAGTCCAGGGAGCCGATCTGTGCCGGCGGTGGCCTCACTGCTGACGCCCTGAGCTCCAGGACCCTGGACGCCAGCAGCTGCCTCACGTTCGTCTGTTGTCCCAGCGGCGATCGCACCCTGAGGCACAGGACGTGGCACATGCCTCCGAAAGGCTGCAGACCAGTGCGTCCCCTGATAGCGTGAGACGGTACCACAGACCCACTAGATGTTGCCGCGCTCCTCCTGTGCCAACTCCGTGTCTGAGGATTATCTCTGCTTATTTAATCTCCTTTACTGCCTGCTCCAAAACAGTGAACTTACGTCCTCCCTCTTTCCTCTTAGTGGAGAGCGAGGATCCGGGAAGTCAGAGGCCAGCAAGCAGATAGTGAGACACCTGACCTGCCGCTCCGTCTCCGGCCGAGCCCTGCTGGACTCCAGGTTCAGACACGTGAGTCGCTTGTCGGGGTTGGCAGATGTGTGGGTGAATGTTCTGAGCCAAGAACGTGTCACTTACAGCTAGAGGAGGACCTCCAGTGGGAAGAGACAGTCAGAACGTGGGGGGGGGGGGCAGAAATGCAAGACTGAGCCCTGCTGCAACTTAGTATTGTTCAAGAGCATTGTTAAATGTATTTGAAGAAATACTTTGCATGTACTCTTTTTTACATTTGCTCCGGTTATCTGGACCAGAACCCGCCTTATGGTTGGCGGCCCCTGTAGTTGCTCTAGAACGTGCCCCTCGGGACTGTGGGTGAGACCGGCCTCCAGGCCGGTGACGGTGGGGAATTCCTGAGAGCCGACCTGGAAGTTCCAAAGCGTCGGGTGCAGCGGACAGCAGCAAAGGGGAACGGCAGTGGGGGCGGGCGGCAGACCTCAACCCGAACCGACTCTGAACGAAGTTGGGAGCTCTCGCCGGCTCTGCGCAGTGGCGTTTGCAGGGCCTGGGCCCTGCTGCTTCATCCACCTGGAGCACTCCGGGGAAGGAGGAGGCAGAGTCCTGCTGCAGGGACGAGAAGCTGACGCGCTGCCTGCGGTGGGACGCGGGAGACCCCGTGCAGCAGGTTCATACGCAGGACTTTTCACCCAGGTGGGGTGAAGAGACCGGGAGCAAGTGACACGAGGAGGACACGAGCCGCAGGGATAGACAGCAACCGTCACCCATGACCCATGGCGAGGGTGGCCGAGCCCAGCTGCCCCCGCTCTGGTGGCCTCAGCCTGCAGCCTGACCCCCTGCGCGTTCCCCTTGAGAGCCGCTGTCCAGCAGTGGGCACTCCTGGCCACAGCCCTGCCAGACCCAGGGCACGTTAGCAGACACCGCAGCTGCCTACACCCGGGGCCCGCGATGCAGTCTCGCTGGGGACTGTGGCTCCCACGCTGGTCCCCGGCTACCGCTCCCGCGATGTGCCGGCCACCTGCCCCGCGGACGCCCGACCCTGCACAGCGCACCGCACGGTGGACGTGGCCCGTCCTCGGCACAGCTGATGTTGTCAGTTCCACACCAGCGACCCCGGAGCCCCCCTTCTCCCCCTCAGTCACGATATCCCACTCTCTGGACCTTGGTAGACAAGAACAGCTCCATTCTGGGGTCAGTCAGGGCCACCAAGGAAGGGAGAAAGGGCCCAAGTCCTAGACCTGGACAAGGAGAGGCCTCGAGTCACAGCTTGAACGCAGGGACTGGGGCTATCCCTGTCGGAGTCAGCGACGCACGCAGTGGAAGCGACTCACCAGAGGAGCCGGAGACAGCTGTGTGAGCTCTGGCACCTGCACCTGCACCTCCAGGACTGCGTTCCTCACGGCCCACGTGATCCTGCCCCCTGCAAGGACAGCCCCGTGCTGCAGCACGGACCACAATCTCCCCATCCCTAGCGTGACTCTTGTCCACCTCCTCGGTGCTGGAGCCGGCTGCGGATGCTGGCCGCGCTTTCTCAGTCTTTGTCCCCCCACCCTGCCATGCCTGGGAGGTGCCACAGCCGCGGCCTGTAGCTGAAGCTCAGTGAGGCTGCCTCAGCCTGCTGCATGAATGCATGAATGAATGTGAGAATGGAAGGTTTTAAGATAGTTTGGCATACCTGGATACGTTAAACTGCTCCAAATCTCGTCTGTTACCTTTCCCTGATGTGACCGAATAAATTTAATATGGATTACCACTTAAAAATTTCCTGCTACATGTGTCGTGTGTTTGGGTGATTTACAGAGTTGTGCGTTTTCCTGCATTGCCCGTACTTGCCCTGCTTTTATTAATAGTGGGAATTCTCTCCCTTTCTTCCAGTTTTCATAACTACTGTCTATATTTTGGTGCAAGCATGGCAGACATATTTGCTAAAAATTACCATCTCTCAAGTCAAAGGCTATCAAGTGTGAGTGCTGAGAATCTGTTTGATCATGCTCCAAAATCATGTTCAGCTCTTTCTGGTAAAAGCCAATCAACGTGCTCCAGGTGACATTTGAGGAAGTGATACACGTATGTGTTTTATCCTTTCCTTGGCCACAAGTGAACAAATGAAAACAAAAACAACTGAACCACAATGCATTGTGCGCATCACAGAGGTGAGTCCCAGCTCCGGATGAGGCGGAGCATGACCAGCTCCACCGTGGGCCCTGGCCTCCAGCACAGGTCTCAGAAAGACAGCTGGCGTCGCACTCCTTGAGACCGGCGTGTTAGGTGAAATCCGACGGACACACAAACTTAAGAATCAATCGCATAGCTTCCGTCATGTGAGATGCACCAAATGTGAACAGAGAGCAATGTAAGAGCTCCTAGGAAACAGGGAGAAGGAAAAGGGGGCAGGAGAAGGAAGGAGGAGAGATGGGGGGGCAGGGAGGGAACAGGAAAGGAGTTAGGCTGTGTCGTGCACCCCTGCCGGCTCCCCGCAAGGACGTGGAAGACGCCTGCATTGATTCAGCTACTCTGGAGTGGAAAGTGTCAGGTGACAACGGACAGAACAGCTGCTGTCACTTTTATCCCCCAAAAAGCTGTGCCTGTCTGCAAGGACACATCGTAAAAGTCTAGCAACTTGTGCCACGAATAGGACCTTGCTTTTATTTGTTTTCTGCTCACCGGCCCTTTCCACAGGGCCCAGGGGGCAGCGCTCACCCGCGCTGATATAGTCACGGTAATTTCGGAATATTCCAGGAACTTATAATATCTGATTCTGCATTTACAAACTAGGAAGATGTTTAATCAATGGGTTAGTGTTTTTCCTTCCTACTTTTTCGCTAGTTCACATCAGTGTGACATTACTGGTACATGGGAGTTGTGTTACATGCGTGCAGCACACACGCGTGGTCAATGCCACCCTCATTAGCTCCCTTGATGCTCCCCTCTTTCTAAGAGTCTCCCTTCCATGTCATCTCCTTTTTTGCCTCACACGTTTCACTCTACTTACAAATCTTTGCCACCCTCATTAGCTCCCTTGATGCTCCCCTCTTTCTAAGAGTCTCCCTTCCATGTCATCTCCTTTTTTGCCTCACACGTTTCACTCTACTTACAAATCTTTAAACATCTAAATCTGCCCTAATGGATTCCTATGCTTCTGCCTGAGTCTGGAGATTTTTCTCAGAATAAAGAACATATATGGAATCAATTCTGCAGCGTATCTATATGGAATCATACGTGCACATAAATGACTTCAATTTATGACTACTTACTAGGCTTCTCCTGTCAGAAGCATTGTAGCACTCTACAGCACAGCTCAAAATAATTTAACATTGTGAGTCAATGGGGAAAGAATAGCGTCAGCTACTGTCTGTTCAAATACCTTAATGTACCGACTGCTGGTACGAAAAGGTTAGAGCGTGAATAAAACAACACGGTTGTAAAATAAAGTCAGGTTCGCTAATAGAAGTAACAGAATCTATTGACTTAATTTAAATGACAAGGAATAATAGTTTCCCCTCTAAATCATAGAATAAAGCAATCATTTATTAAAGTGATATGAAGACAGCAAGCTGGACATCCCGAGAATGCATTCTGGCTGACGTTATATAAACTGGCTTTGCGTTTTCATTTAAGTGAATGTATTCGAAGTTGCTTCCTTTGGGCAGGAAGATATGACTCCTCCCCATCAGTTAGTGGTCTGGAAGTGGAAACTATGATCGCAATTGAGATTTCAAGTAGCGGCGTTCTTGTATTTTATTGGTTCTCCGTGAGACGTGAAAGGCATTGTAAGTGAATGATTTCCAACCTCATGTCAAAGAACTACCCCGGCGCCAGCATGGCTTAAACTCCATGGCAGCTGTTTTTCTTTCTTGGTTTCCCTTTACATTGTCATCCACGTGAATCTCACTCAGTGTCTGAGAGGTTCATGAGAACTCCTCAGCCTCAGTTTTGCAAGGAATCCCACTTTGTACGCAGGAATTAAATGCCAGCGTGGCATACATGTCCGAGCGTGCATTGCAGTAACGGGACAGAGAACAGGGGAATGGAGCGTGTTCCAGAGAACGGCCTGTGCACGTGCATGAAGCAAAGCTGATTGCGGGGAGTGGTACAACAGCGCCCCGGCCACAGAGCTGCGCGGTTGGAAGCTGGAGATTCAGCTCAGGCGAATCTGAAAGGAGCGATCGTCAGATCACCCCAGAAGGACCGGGGGAGCTGTTGCAGATGTGAACCCTGAGACCCCAGGCAGCGGTCAGGCCCACTGGCTCATGGGGCTGAGATGCTTCCAGAGGAGAGGTGGGTTTGTCCACACCTGTGGCCGGGGGAAGGTGAACCCCACAAGTCACTGGGAAGTTATCCTGTGCCGCCTCAGGACAGCCATGGCCCCAGTTCTGCTCCTAGTCCCAGAGTTGGAGCCTCAAGCACTGGAAGGGAGGAATCGTCCATGTCCTTAGAATTGCTGGAACAGAGAAGTCCTCTTTTGTAAAGAAACTGTCTTGGACTTCTTGCCAGTTCTAGCCCAAGTGGATTTCAACTGTAAAAAGTAGCATTCAATTTCACTTCCATCACGGATACCAGCCTTGACTGAGAATAGCTTTCGCAGAGCAGAGTGGTCAGCTCAACTTGGTGGATGAAGAATTCGTTTTTACAAAAGAAGCCATGGGTTTTCACTTTTAGAAAACAGAACACCTGGGTTGGTGGTGCATGCCTGCAATCCCAGCCCTAGGGAGGCTGAGGCAGAAGGATTGAGGAAAGTTTGAAGACAGCCTGGGTACATAGTGAGGTCAAGGGCAGCCTGAACTACATAGAGAGGCCTTGTCTCAAATAAAAGGAAAACAGAACAGATTCACTGCAACTATGCTGCTACATAACGGTCACAATGTAACTACTGAGGTGCACACCATGGGCATGAGTGGGAAACATCACTCCAAGGACATTTGAATCACTCAATATTGAAGATATACGTATGTGTATACACTTACCTTCGCTTATATTTTTACTTACAATGTTGCTACTATGCAACATTCTCAGTATTTTGTTTCAGAGTCAAGGCCAGCAGTTGAATAATTCCAGTTTTGTGTTTTCTTAGCATTTCTCTCAATGCATTTATTCAGTGCCACCTATTGGCGCAGTAGCTGGCCACACTCCCCGCCGGCTGGCAGTGAAGGTGAAAACCGCTCTGGTAGTCACGGAGTTTGGGGATTTAATCCCTGACTGTGGAACAGCAGTGTGCAACGAAAGAGTGCCACGTGGGTGTTTGCACATTGCTGAGGGTCTCGGCTGTGTGTCAGCCTCGCACCTCCAGTGTTCTTGTTACGTCAGCAAGAGCAGGTGAGGGATGCTTGAGTAGCTGAGCGACTGCAGGCAGGCTGTCCCGTGTCACACTCCAGCCCCAGTATTTCACGTAGCGACTGAGTCTTCGGAAGTCATTTAATCTACTTGCTTGTGTGTGAAATGGAGACGCTGGTCAGGGGGACTAAAAGCAACCACACGCGCACACACGCACACACGTACACAAGCGTGCTCACCCGTGCAGACATCGAAGTGTTGCCGGGCACACAGCAAGCACAAGAGACGGTGTCTGTCACGATGACCAAACATGAGATGAGCCGCTGCGTTTGTCAGATGCTTGCTCTGGGCTGACTGCTCTGTGCGCCTGTTACAGCCGCCGAAGAAGTGACCCGCGTTGGAGTGAAGGAAAGGAAGGAAGGAAGTCGAGGCGGGCAGTTTAAGGAACTTGTGTGGCGTGTCCGAGGGTTGGTCGTCGGCTTAGCTGGGGTGGGGAGGAGCTACTGCGCACTCCGAAGCCTGCGCACGGGGTTCTGTCCGTATGTCCAGCCTGAGCTGAGTCATAACTACGTACAACGCTCTTCGGCACTGAATAATTAATACCTCGCCTTCCTACTAGGCTCCTTGCCAAAATAACCAGAAGCCAAACATGTTTAAAAACATATCCACCTTCTACAACTTTCCGACAATTGTTTGACATTGCACACTTCATGATGTCCTGTACTTACAGCGGGAATTTCCTCTGAGACTGTATATTTAACATGAGACTTTTGTGAAAGGAGCACAGAGCCAGTCTAACAAGCGCTAATTCATGTTTTCTTCAGAGTACATGTCTGTCATCCCTGCTCCCAATTTGTACTTGATGCTTTAAAGCTATTACACGTGTACCCGAACTGTAGGGCTCCGTAAAGATTTGAGATGTTTATCTCCAAAACTCCAAACTGCATAAACAGACGGTTTCCCACATTCCATCTTCCTCTCGGCTTTTAGCAATTCTGATTTGAGATTAGCATCAGTGTTGCTGTGTAATCCTTTAGAATATAGAATACTTCCAGGAGAAACAAATTGTTAGCATAACAGGTGTCAGGAAATTAAGAAGAAGAGTCAAAGCATGCTTCAAAAATTTAATGAAATTTTCTCAAAACTTACAGGGACTAGTACAACCCCGAATCCTCAAAAGGTGAGATTGTGCTCCCTCTTGTGGCTGACATAGAAACTGCAGTTAACCTCTTTAACCCCACGGAGAGAAATCACCTTTGACTCTACCAGATTTTCGACTCAAACTGCGTGGTTACCATGACCACCAGTAAATTGGCATAGAAGAAGTGGCTTATATTCCATGACCAATGTCCGAAACGAATTTCACAACTGAGGGAAGTTCCAAGGAACTTTATTCTTAAGCGTTTCGAAGCCGTTAACTTTGCCACCTGGGAAGGCAGGCTCGCAGGGGAGATCAGTGAAGCATCCGGACCAGGCCTCTCATTCCTGCCTCCGGGGGAGGGAAGGGCTGCCGGCCACAGAAACGGGAGGAGTCCCAGACTGAAAAGCAAGTAAATGCGGATTCACAGCACTGGATGAGCAGGGCTTACCTGAATTCATTTAAATAATTTCTGACTAATGCTTACGTCAGTTTCAGACTTTCCCCTCCAAAATGTCCAATGATGTTCTACTGTTATGGTCAAGATTGAAATTTCAAATAGCACTTATCGTATGTGTGCGTGTGCGTGTGTGTGTGTGTGTGTGTGTGTGTGTATTTCCTCCACTTAGGTAGAGGAAGGATGTAGTGCAGTAACCTGCATGTTATTTTATTAACAGCAGCTACACTTGCAGACACTGTACACACTACTAAGAATTTGCATTTGGACAGAGTTATGCTAATTCCACTTGGTATTAAAAGAGTTAGTCATGGTGGAACATGCCTATATGGTAAGCCGGCACTCTGGCAGGCTGAGGCAGGGTTTCAGGTTAGAGATCAGCCTGGGCAACTTGGCAACTTCTTGAGACCTTGTCTCAAAATAAAGGTTTTAAGGGGTAGGGGCTGGAATGTAGCTCAGTGTGAAGGCCATGGGTTCATTTCCCAGTACTACTAGGATAGGGAGGGAGGGAGGGAGAGAGACTTGCAGATGTGGAGAATTCCCTGCATCTTCCTTGCTGCTCACCAATTTCATTTTTTTCATTGAATGGTTTGGTAGAAATTTTCTCTTCTGCTGCAGGCCATGTGCATCTTAGAAGCCTTTGGACACGCCAGGACGCCGCTCAATGACCTGTCCAGTTGCTTCATAAAGTATCTAGAAGTGCAGTTTAGTGAGAGGAAGAAGCAGGTGACTGGAGGTAAGCGCGCGGCGGAGAGTGGAGGCTTCCTGTGCCGCAGGAGGGTGCGCATGCGGGGACCGGGGCCCAGTTTCAATTCTCAGCAAACTCTTGGGTGGCACAAGGGCGGGGGAGGCCAGCAGTGAACCATCAGAGGGAAGAGAAAGCCTGTTCTTCCCCAGGGACATGGTGTGAACTTCCTAGGACATCTTAGAAAGGTTCATCACCTGTAAGAAGGATCAGGACTCAAACACAGAGGGGCACGTGAGTGTCTCACAGAGGGGCGGTGTGAATGTGCCCCTGGGATTGAGGTTATGAGTTCCAAATATAATGTGGACTGAAGAATATTCACAAATGCAAAGTGAACCTCTCTTGGAGGATTCCTGTATAAACTATGTGATGTGGAACCAAACCCAAGCAAAACTAGCTGAAGGGAATCACACATGTTGAACATGAAAGCAAACTCAAATACTCAAATAAGTCATAACCTTATTCAATTACTCCACTCAACACATAGTGAAATCTACGTTAAATGAAACTAAATCTGTATTTCTAAGATGACTGAATCAGGACAAATCAAAACATTAAAATAATCACCAAGGAAACTTAAACAGAACATACCTCTTGTTTCATTTAAATAATTAATGTTTATTTTATGAAAATTTTTCATCTAAAATTCAACAAATGTAGAACCCTCCCAGGATTTTACTTCTTTCCAATCATGCAAATTAATAACAAATACAACTGCAGATAGAATGCCTAATCTACTCAGAGGAATCATCTGCTTTAAAAACCTTCCTAAGAACTGTCGTGAGCATTTGCTCATTATAAATGGTTTTTGAAAGCATTCAGTTCCATTTTTCAAGTTATTCTACCTTCCTTTCGGGAAGTTAGTTTTTACTGTGATTTAGTGTTAGTCAGCTTTTCATCGCTGACCAGGTATCTCAGAAAATCACTGAAAAGAGAGAAGAATTATCATGCTTTCAGAGGGGTCAGTCCATGGTGGACAGCCAGCTCCAAGCAGAAGCATCATGGCAGAAGGGTGTGGCAGAGGACAGCTGCTCTGCCACACAGCAGCCAGGACCAGGGAGCAGGTGGAGAGCTGCAGAGACCAGGGGCTGGGCACATCCGCAGTGACCTACCTTCTCCAACCAGGCACCCCTCTGACACACTGAGCTGTGAAGTCACCCATGGTGTCACCCACGGCTTAATCTATTGATGAAGTGAGTGCCACTTGATTTGGTCATGCTCCAGAACCCTCACCTGTGAACTCATGAGCCTCTTGCTGTATATTTTTGATATAAATCATAAAAATCTAGAAAGAAAGAAAGTTTATTTTGTAACAAGTGTAGGAAGAAATCAAATTTCTACTAATTAGAACTTGATGATTAATATGCAAAGGAGCAGTGAGAAGCAGTTGTTGTTGCTGTGGTTAAATTCTGCAGTGGGAAAGTTCTTATGACCATTAGCCGGAGGCGCAGTCCTGAAGGCCACCATCCGGGAAGACCTCAAGAGGGGACGTCTTGAGCCCTGGCCTGGACACCGGGCGTGTGTGCTGCTACCCGGGAAAGGCCGAGACCTGCTTGCAAAGAGGAGCACAGAATGCTCTCCCAGGGGGATTTTATTGACCAGCTTGCAGAGCCACAGGGGATCAGGGGGGCAGGCAATCCCAAGACAGGAAGCCAGCGCCTGAGAGGCTGTGTCCTGCCTCTCACTCTGGGGTCAGGGGCTGTAGCTGTGGCCACAAGCAACAGCAGTGGTGGTGCAGACCCACCCCTGTGAGCCTGAGTCTGCCGCAATGAGTCCAAGGGTGTGGCTGGGTGGCCCCACAGTGGCTGTTCTGCCCACTCAGACGTTCAGGAGAGGCCCTGGACGGTGTGTCCTCTACTTTTCCTTTCTTTTATCTGGACAGAGTGAATGTGTCCCTTCTTCAGGAATGGTCACTGTGGAAATAATTATATACACATATTAAAAAGAACCGGACAGCTGTAGCAGGCTCTTCCTGGGCCTCCTGCAGATCCCAGTCTATTAGCACACAGTGCACGTGTCTGCACCAAAGGCAAACCCACAGTCACCCTGCTGGCAGCGCACCCTGTGGTGGTGGGCATTCGCGTCCAGGGCCCCGAGCCTGGCATAGTTCAAGACTCAAGATGCCCGCTGAATCCCACAGGAGCTGAGAGCACCGCTCCAGATGCATCTGCACCCCGTGGAACCGTGTTGACTCTTCTCCTGGGAAACTGGGAGTCGCCGGGACGCCTTCCGCACACTGCCTCCTCCACCTCCTCTTCATACCCACCCCCGCCCTTCACACCCACTCACCTCTGCTTGTACGTTTCAGGGCTTCCTGCCATGTTCCTTTAAAAGCCTCGCCACATGCTTTGGAGATTATCTGCATGTGTTTTTTTATTGCTGCTTGGAGGGGAAGAGCCGGTGCCATCCGGGACTCATTAACAGAAGCACAAGGGCTGGGGATTTAGCACAGCAGCACAGCACCTGCCTGGCAAGCTCAAGGTTGTAAGTTCAATTCCCAGTACCAGAAAAAAAACAAAACAAAAAAAAAAAAAAACAGAAGTACATTTAGTGATGAGCTTGGACCTTAAGATCAGCCGGCACCTGAAATGGTCACCAAGGAGTTCGATTCCTTATTTCTTATATTTAAGCAGGAAAATGAAAATGATCTATCCAGAGGATGCCTACCAGAAGAACCAAGTGGCCAGGTGCACATTTGTGGGAAACGAGGAGAGATTCGGGGCTACGCTGAATTTCCTCGTGTACCATGTGCCAGGTGGGAGGGGGCCAGGTCAGTGTGTTGGGTGCACCGCGAGGAGGGGGGATGTCCCTGCATCACCAGAACTTCCAGGACCAGGGTTGCCACGGCGTCTGAAGGAGGGACCCATGCCCAGCTGGCCCTTTGGAATGGATGACTGTCAGGTCCTCTTTTCTCAACTATAGGATTAGAAGACTGACAAGACTCTACACTCACCTTTGCACCTTTCCACTGTGTTTCATTTAATTGGAAATAAACCACTTTTGGACCATTTCTCAGTCTAATAGAAACTGTGAGGGCTTAACATAGTCATGTCCTCAAAGGACAAAGACCAGCCGACAAAGTGATGTGACTAATGCCCTGGAAGCCACCACCATGAGGCTCCTGACTGGCAGAGAGCTGCTTCTGAGAACATGCAGGACTTGGTCCCAGTTCTTACTGGACAGCCAGATGCCCAAAGCTGACCGGTTCTCTGTACCCCAGGGGAATCTGCTCGGAGAATGAGCTGATCATTTTCAACCAATGAAGCAATCTCTTCTTCCAGGATATTTATTACTGAAGAAATAGCTACTCACCAAAAACCGGTGGGAGGACCTTCAGAAAGTCACCTCATCCCAGGAAACACAGGGCTTCACTGTTCTCCTTGGCTGCCGTGGAGAAGGCATGGCCTTCCGGTAGTATCTTTCCTTTTCTTGCACTTTCCTGTAAAGCGTGCTGGTAAAGGGCTGGGGGAAGGGGGCTGGTCTAAGGTCAGACCTTTCTGCACCCTGAATATTCACAGCCAGACCCATGGACTCCTGTGTGCACTTAGCGAGGCCGGAAGCAGGTGTCCACATGAACGCCAGTTCCTGAGGGCCCTCGAGGGGTAGGAGGCCGTAGCTACAGCCACGCCGACCCGAGCTGAACCCTGGCCCTCCTTCCCAGCTGTGCAGGTTTGGGCAGTCATGGACTTTGTATGCCTCAGTTTGCTCACTTGTGCTGAGGACAGTGAGCACCCCAAACTGTCTGGGCTCAGAGGACATCAGATGTGTCAATGTCGCTCTTTAAATCTCTTCAACTCTCCTGCTCTCCCCTTTGGTGTCAGATCTTATGTTCGTCCGAAGAAATATGCTGGGCTCACTACGTCCAGAGGGCAGGGAAGGGCGAGGGCCTCACACGGAACGGGGCAGTGTTAGCTCGTTGTCTTCTCTTTAGGCTGAAGACCCACGAATCCATTTATGCTGAAATCGCAATGTTCTAAGCACAGGAAATGCCTTCCCATGCTGGGTTATCTACTTAACTTCAGTCAAGCTGAAGTGTTAACCCAAGTGAGATGGAAAACACACTGAGGTCTTTGCCTTGTATTTTTCCCAAGCCCTGCCTGACTTTTAAATAATCCAGATGTATAAAAAGCGCTGAGTCACCCTCTTCGTGATTACATTGTCACCCTCAGCATGGCGACTTCACCTGTTTAAAAGTCTCTGCATGGGACGGGACTATAGCTCAGTGGCATAAGCACCTGCCTCACAAGTGCAAGGTCCTGAGTTCGATTCCTGGTACCAAAAAAAGTCTTACAAAATTCTCCACTTGCGCTTGCATGCGCTCATTGGTCCTGGTGCAGGTCGAGAGCAGCATCCTTTATCCCAGCTGCCTGGACTTGGGGATGAACCCTGGGCTCCCGTGTACAAGGCCTGGAGAGAGCTCAGGAGCAGCACCCAGCCCTACAGCGTGAGCTTCCAGAGAAGCTCTTTCCTCTTGAACTCTGGAAAGGTCCTGGGATGTCTGCGTCTTTCCTTCCCTGTGCCGTGGATGAGCAGAGGAAAGCTGAGGAGTAGCCTGAGACACGGCGGGAGCCGCTGGGGTTCACCCTGCCTCACCCCATAGGCAGGAGACAAGAATCAAGAGGCAAGAGCACATGGGCGGAGAGGAAGCAGTGCTGCTCCTGGCCAGAGATGACTTAGGCGACTGCTAACTGAAGGCTGCTGGGCTTCGTAGGGGACCCCGCCTTGTGATGGGTCTGTGATAGCCAGGCGGGACAGGGTAGGAGGGCGTGTGGGACATTTTAGGAGTCCCTGGGAAGGACAGGCAGGAATTCTTCCTTCGAGGACAGGGGAGTTTATTTCTTCCACTTCCTTTGAGAAGGAATACAAACTGGCATGGATCTAGAGAAGACTGTATTGTCCCTTATGACAGCTCTAATCTCCAAGTTATGGTAGAAAACTTTGAGAAACTCATTCATAAGGAGGACTACAGCTGTATTTCCAGCCAAGGATATTTCTGACACGAAAGCGTTTTGGAAACACACACATCTTGAGAACTCGGCAATTGTAGGGCTCCCCTCTGGTGCATGGACACTTGCGTGCCCGAGTCTTGGACATCTCAGAAACCCAGCCTCTGTCCTGTGTCATTACAGCTTCATTTCAGACACCCGAAAAGCACTGTGTCTTGTCTGTTTGGAGCAGTAGGATTCGGGGCTGTTCCGAGTTTGCTAGTCTCCTTTAAGCCTTCTGTTTTTGACATCCTACTGCTCTGAATCCTGCTAATCCGCAGCCCTTGTATTCACTGTGTGAGGTGCTAGCTGGAGTGATCAGTCAACACACGGCCTCGAATTCAGATGAAGGGTCCTGGACTTGCTCCATGAGGCAGGGTCTGGTCAGCACTGTGCACTGCTGGAGGGGAAATTGCATCCGGCTAGGTCTGTGGACAAAATCATCTCTGTCCCCAAGCTCGGGGGCCCAGGGACCTCCCAGCCTGTCCTTCCCACTGGATGCTTCTCACCAGCAGATGATGGAGCAGTCTGAGCAGTTTGTGTCACGTATGTGTAGATGTATAACGTACTTTCCTGAACAGTGGATAATTTCGGGGTGAATATTACCCATATTAAACAAAAAAAGTTTTCAGCCAAAACTCTAAGAAGAAAAAGAGAGAAAAATTTTCAAAGACCTCAATCTGCAGTTCCCACTGGATTACACACCACGGGGCCGTGTGCACACACAGCCACCCTGGCGTGGAACTGCCTGGTCCTGTGCGGGAACCTCTGTCTCCTAGACATTCTCCTGAGTCCCCGGAACCAGGCGACACAACGTGAGCGCTCCGGCTGGACGTGTGTTTAGGGCTCAGTTGATAAGAGTGTGCACACACCAGCTTCTCAATTTGAAGCCATGTTCACACAACGACACCAACCAAGGAGAACAAAGTAGCATGAGGGAGAGAGGAAGCAGTACCTCGGGACTCTCAGTACTTGGTGCTGAGCCTACATAAATCTGAAACTTCCCTAGAAAATGAATCCACTGCACTTAAAAACCATAGAAATACACTTGACTGATGAAGGGGACGTGACTTTCATTGTGTACAGGTCTTGTAAGTCATAAATGTGTGCCCCGTATCTCAAAATAAAAATAGTTGTTTCTATCTGAAGAGCAAGATGAAGTCTGTTGGTGTTTTTTAAAGTCTGTGTTGGAGCAGCAGCTCCACTGTTATCCCTTAAAACTAGTTCACCTGTGTGAGTGTGTGGAGGGGAAGCCGCTGCTGCCGTTTAACAGTTGCTTCTCTTCACCAGCCAGAATCCATACCTACATGCTAGAGAAGTCCAGACTCGTGTCACAGCCCCTCGGCCAGAGCAATTTCCTGGTTTTCTACCTGATGATGGATGGACTATCCGCTGAGGAGAAGTTCGGACTCCGCCTCAGCAATCTGTGTGCACACCGGTGAGTGACTCTTCCGCCTGAAACTGCCTTCGAACCGTGCTTGCAGTTCCGTAGTCTTACCTTGTCTTTGTACCTTTCAAAGGACACATAGTGGCTAAAAACTGTTGTACACAGGTTAGAATTATCCGTGTCACAAGGTGGTCACCGTTTGTTGAATGGAATGTCTAGGTGCAGTGTTCAGTGTGTGTATGAATTCTTATTTGTATCAGAATGCAAATACATACTAAGGCATATATACATTTTTCTGTTCCTTTTGAGCGTTTTGGATGGAACACTGGTTATGCATTCCTGGTCTTTGGTCATCTTTGGGAATAATGGAATAATTTGAACTCATTATTTTTCGTTAGTAACAGATGAGGTAAAGGAGATGGACAACAATACTCAGCCTGAGGGGCTGATTTTCTTCATGGGAGCAAAGTGATTGGTGTTGGAATTAGGAGATATTGATTACACGCTGATGCATGAGAGGGCGCGGAAATGGTGAGCGGAATCAGGTCCGCCCGAGGTGTGCCTTTCTGCCCGAGTGAGCTTCCCCAGCTCTGCTCCAGGCACAAAGGTGGCCAGGCAGAACCGGCTCCTGACCCCAAGTCACTCCTGTGTTCCAAGGCAGGGTGGGGGAGCTGGGCCCTGACAGAGGTGCGAAGTCCTTCTGGTGGCCATTCCTCCCTGAGCTGTGGTTTACAGGGAGGTGCTGGGCGGGAACTGGGGTAATAGGCAGGCACTGGAGGGGAGTTTTCCGGTTTTCCAGTGTGATGGGGCCGTATTTGGGCTGAACTTCCAGCACTGGTTGGAGAAGTGACGCTGTATGTCCCAGCGTGTCTGTGAGGGGTGAATGATTATGAGTGCAGCGTCAGGAAAAGAGTAAACTGGCCGCAGACTAACTCACCATTATAGCACGGTCATCAGATCTCAGTAAAAACGTGCACTTGGGGATATAGAAATAGCCTGCTGTACTGGAAGGAGAAAAGCAGCCAAGTAGTTAAAAACCCTTATGAGAACTCACTTAGTCTAACGGGAGGACTGCCGGGGACACGCAGCAGACACGTAGGAGAAGCAGAAAGCCGTGATGGTGAAGCCTGCATGCGGGGGCACGCAGAAAGGATGGAGTCGGCAGCTCCAAGCACTCGGGACGTTGGGATACTGTTTATCAAGCCCTTGCTCCTCACAAAAAGACAGTCAAAGGCGGAGCTGAGAAGTCTGTGCTGCCAGCAAAGCTGGTGAAATCCATCACCTGAAACTCTGCCAGGAGTGGGCATCAAACTCAGGGCCTTCGCACCAAGCTAACCCTCGTTCTTATTTTATTTTTGATCTCTGAGACAAGGTCTCACTAAATTGCCCAGCTAGGTTCAAACATGCGATCCTTCTGCCTCAGCCTCCAAACTTCAAGGATTCAGTGCCTGGACACCCCTCCCTGAACAGGTCACTTGGAGGAAAAGCACAATCTGGGGGCTCCCGGACTATGTATTAAGGGGCGTCCTGCAGATGAAGACTGGCTTGGGTCTCTGCCCCAGTCCTTCCTCCAAAGCCAACAGCAGGTAGGCAGCTCCGAGGACACATCTGTGTCGTGTGTGTGTGTGTGTGTGTGTGTGTGTGTGAGATGTGTGTGTGAGATGTGTGTGTGTGATGTGTGTGTGAGATGTGTGTGTGTGATGTGTGTGTGAGATGTGTGTGTGTGCCTGGCTTTGGGAACCTGAGCCACTGGAGGACACAGCAGTGACCTGAGCCACCTTTTGGAGCAGCAGTGTGGCTTCCTGGGCTGGGACATGGAGCGGGAGCCGGGCGGGCTCTCTCCAGGGCAGGATCCACAACCCTCTCCCATCCTTGCCAGGCACCAGGCTCCTGGCCTGAGCGGCCCAGAACACCACGGCCGCTGGCTCCATATGCCTCTGCAGCCATGAATAATTCATTGGCCTTGGACAAAGCTCACTAAAGTGGACTCTGAATAGCCAGTGGGTGCTACATGTTCTGTAAAAGCACACGCCCTACTCCACATGCATGAAGTTGTGAGCGGGAACATTGGTGCTGTGACCGTTCCACGGACAGTGACACTTCACAGTAAAAACACGGCTGTGCAAGTTTATAACACACCACACTGTCACGACACGTGTGCGACTCGGGTAGGTCTTCTCGCTTTATAGCACCGGTACCCCTCACTCTTCCAACCCCGGAGGGGTCGGAGAAGTTTTAGATGGCTTTGGTATTTGAAGGTGGGTGGAGGTTCCACTTTGTTTAGCACTCATCAATATGAAATATCATAATTATGGAAATTGTGTGGCTTGTCTACAACCAGAAGTATTAGGTAAGAATTTTCTAGCTTTCTGACTTTTCACAAATCAATGCTCTTTCCGAGTCCGCTGCTTAACATGGAAACTCAGACCGAAAGGGTGTCACAGTCGGTAAAACGTCTGCGTGATGGACACAAGTCTCACGGTGAGGGTGTCCCGTGCTGGCCGCAGACGTAGCAGAGAGAATGCGGACGTGTGTACAGTGCAGTGCAGTGCTGGGCCGGCCAGAGCCGCGGAGCAAACGTTTGCAAGCGCTTCCTCCCCGCACAGCCCGGCTCTCCTGCGTCCCTCAGGAGCGGAACCCGGGCGAAGCAATCCACACCTGTTCCCTGCGAGCCGAAGCCAGTGCCACGTCGAAACGCACGCAGGGGCACCGCCTGTGACACGCGGGCGCGCCGCAGGAAACACGGAGGGCTCGGCGCGGAACTGCGAACTGCGTGGGGACCGGCTTTGTCCACCGGGGGTCCCGGGCTTTGCGGTCTGAGCCGCGGCAGAAAGGCTGCGGTACCCAGAACTGCCACCGGGCAGCGCACTCTCCGCAACATGAGCAAACCGCTGGTGAAACACAGCAAACAAGAAATTGAGGGAGGAAAAACCCACAAAAACAAATGCTCATCACTTGCCATTTCTTTTCCTTTATTTTTTACTGGGCTTGATTGTCTCCTGGCTGTTTGCTTCTCAAGTGGTGTTATAATTTTTTAGGAGTAACTGACACCAAGGGACATGTGTCATTCATGTCCTTAGGACTTGAGCTGTCCTGAGGGTTGAGGTCTTTTGTTGTTGTTTATCTTCATCTGGCTTTAAACAGCTTCCGTGGGTTCAGTCCCAGGACCCCGGGCTCGAAAACCCGGGGAAAGTCCTGCCGACCGCCATGCTTGGAGCTGCTCGACGGAGTGGGACGGGGGCCCTGGAAGGAGGGCTGGCGTTGGATCTCAGGGGGCAGGCAGCCCCGTGACTCAGCGCACCCGGGCCTCGCCCCGTGTCACCCAGAGGCCGCGCTGACTCAGTCTTTGAACTGAGTTCCTGAGCGCACACCTTTCACTGGAGAGGCACAGCAATTAACTCCCAAGGAAAGGTTTTTTTTTCCTCCCCTCTCTTGCTAAGGGCTTATTATGAACACTGAATTTAACCTGAGCGTGTGTCACATAATTTTTTAAAAGGTAGAGAACTCAAAGGTTACTCAGAGGTGACGCCTCATGATCTTGTGCTGCAGTGCGGTGTTCCCTTAGTCACACGCGTCAGGCAAGAAACGCCGCGCGGTGTTCCCAAGGCCGGGGCAAGGTTGAGGCACGTGGGCGGTGTCCCTCACGGACTGTGCCGCTGATCATCGGGGTGACAGTCACACTCCTGATGGGCCTCAGACCAGGCTCCTTCGCCCCAGGATCCACGCACTGTGGCCTGCGAGCCGAGACCTGGAGCCTGGCCCTCTGGCTCTGAACCCCAACCCTTGACTCCGCCCCATCCTTGCTTTTACCGGTGACATTTTAAGGACAGTAGGACAGAGAGCAGAGTCAAAGCCTGCCGTTGTGCGTCTTTATTTAAATTAAAAGCTAACAATAGCACTCTAGGGCTTGTCACCCTTGACTGAAGGGGGAACAATTCTAGGCTGTTACCTAGTAGTGCAATAAAGTGTTTTAAACCAGCGGGGTGTGGTGGCCTACAACTGTGATCCCAGAACTCTGGAAGGCTGAGGCAGGAGGATTGCAGAATTCAACCCCAGCCTGGCCAATTTAGCGACTTAAGGGCATCTCACCTCAAAATAATAAGGGCTGGGCTTAGTTCAGTGACAGAGCCGGGCTTCAATCCCTAGCACCACACACACAGAAGCCGCTTTTGTTGCCCCATGGGAAGGGTGCAGTGCAGCAGTGGGTGGAGCTGAGAGACACAGGCAGAGCGCGGGCTGCCGCTCCCCAGGCCTCTGAGTTTTGTGCCCCAAAAAGGAGAACAGTCTCCAGCATCGAGCCTGTGCCCCGCCATCCCCAAACCCCCCGGAAGTTCTGGCCGTCTCGCACTTGATGCGTGATGAGTCTGAAAGCTGTGTCGCTTTCTCAAGGGTAGTTAGTGGATTCATTCAGCACACGGTGGAGGCCGATTCCAAACCCAGATCTGGACTCAGGTTTAAACTCATTAGAGAGGTCAGGACCACAACTGTAACTGGCCAGCAGGGGGCGCTGAGAGGAGCCCGCAGGGCACAGGTGGCAGTGCAGGCTGTGGTGTGGTCCCGGAACCAGTGTGCCCCTGCCTCCTGCCTCCTGCCTCGCCCTCCCGACCCCCTCCGCCTCCCCTTTCCTCCTTCTCCTTCCCTCTCGCACCCACCCCCAGGTCTTACTTGTGTTTTCCAGCACAGAGGACTCAGCTGCACAGGCCCTGGGCTTCCCTGACTTGGGAGCTCAGAGTGATAGCCACATGTTTCCTGCTGCAAGAGCCATCCTGGGGCCTTGCACAGGCTCTGCCTGGCTCTGGCCCCTGGACAGAGGCTAGAGGGGCCCACGTGTGCGGTGGCAGCAGCAGGGAGAGGACCTCAGCAGGCACCGGGCCGGGCCGCCACGTTGAAGGGGGCCAGGTCCTCCACGGTCCCGTGCAGGCCCAACCCGCCCGGCACTGTCCTGTTCGCGGTGCAGAGCCGGCAGTCGCCCGGGTTTTCCAGCTGGCAGAGCCACGCAGGTACCCGTGCAGAACCACCTGGAGTGTCCGAGGCCTGTCTGCAAAGGCCCA